TGACAGTTTTCCTATAGACAAAAACTGTACTCTGGGCAGTTTTCTCTTTTCCCTTACTTCGCAAAGTGGCCGAGTTATTACACAGCTCCTCTCGTTTGGGGTGGCTTTTATTGCTAGGTTCCCAGCATTCTTCTCTGTGTTCTCATGTACTAATTTATATAATATTCACAATATGCTATGAGATGGGTATGATATTATCATCAGCTTTGAAATAAGGAAATGAGGTGCGGGGGTATTATTACCTGCTTCAAGTGACACAGCTGGGAGGACAGAGTAAGTCCATTACGCTTCCTGGCTTCTTGTAAATGGCAGGCCCCTAATGGAGGAGAGCTGTCCGTCCCGTCTTCTCCTCTGAGTCTGAACTGTGCTTCCAATTACATTACTTTAGACCATCTACCCTCTTGTTTATTTTCCTCTGGATACTCTCCTGTGTCTCTCTACACTTGCGTTCCTCTAACATGAACTTGATGCTCTAAATTATTTTGCATCTAATACCTCTATTAACAAAGTCTAACATAGTGAGAGGTGAATTTTCCTTTTGTTTGGCAGCTAAATTGGAGTTACAGCTCGTCTTAAGTTTTTTATTCACCCAGCTTGTCTGGGCTGCTGTGGTAGCAATCTGACTGGTCTCCCTGCCCCCGCCCTTACTCCCTTGGTGTCTGCTCTCTTTTCGGCAATGAGACTGAATCACTTCTCTGCTGGAAGCCCTCCAGTGTCTTCCCACATTACTCAGAGTAAAAGCCAAAGTTCTACAATCATCTGTATAGCCCTCCTGCTGTGGCCCCCAGCTTCATCTCCATCTTCACCTCCTGCCACTTTCCTTAGGCACAAGGCTCCAGACACAAAGGCCTCTGATGTTCTTGAGACCTGCCTACACCCTTTGCACTCGCTGCTCCCTCTGCCTGGAACAGTCTTCCCCAGATATCCACATGGTTTTCATCCCTTCCTTCAGGTCTTTGCTCAGAGGTCACCCTCTCATCCCTACGCCGTCGCTCACCACTCTCCTTTCCTGCTTATTGTGAAGTCATAGCATTGATCATCGGCTGTTTGTTTCTTTCTTCTACCCCATCTCATATCAGATGATATCCACAAGAGCTCTTCCTGTCTTATTACTGTATAGCCAACAACTAGGATGGCACCTAGCATATAGTAGGCAGCCAATAAATAATTGTCGAATCAAGATTCTTGTTTTGGACGCGAACTGTTATTAATCAGAGGACTGCTGCATCCTGTACCTGTGTGGTTGTTTCGGGGACATTTATTTTTTATTCTTATTTTTTGAGTTTCAGTTTTTTATTTAAATTATAGTTAGTTAATATATAGTGTAGTATTGGTTTCAGGAGTAGAATTTAGTGATTTATCGTTTACATATAACACCCAGTGCTCATCCCAACAAGTGCCAACCTTAATACCCATCACCCATTTAGCCTATCTGCCACCCACCTCCCCTCCAGCAACCCTCAGTTTGTTCTCTATAGTTAAGAGTCTGTTTTATGGTTTGCCTCTCTCTCTCTTCCCCCCCCATGTTCATCTGTTTCATAAATTCTGCATATGAGTGAAATCATATGATATTTGTCCTTCTCTGACTGACTTTTGTCGCTTAGCATAATACACTCTAGCTCCATCCATGTTGTTGCAAATGGCAAGATTTCATTCTTTTTTGTGGTTGAATAACATTCCATTGTATATGTACCACATCTTCTTTATCCATTCATCAATTGAAGAACATTGGGGCTCTCTCCGTAGTTTGGCTATTGTTGATAATGCTGATATAAACATTGGGGTGCATGTGCCCCTTCGAATCTGTATTTTTGTATCCTTTGGGTAAATACCTAGTAGTGCAACTGCTGGGTCGTAAGGTAGTTCTGTTTTTAACTTTTTGAGGAAGCTCCATAGTGTTTTCCAGGGTGGCTGCACCAGCTTGCCTTCCCACCAGCAGATGTTTCGGGGACATTTAAATATACTTGTATAATTTTACATTTTGTTAAATCCCTTACTGAAGTGGAAGATACACTGTATACTTTCTATTTGTTTTCTTACTATTGTAGTCTTTTATCAGAAAGGAAATGAGGCAGTTAGCATGTGACTCGTTCCTAGTAAATCCCTAGATATGTATTTAGGACCAGAGACCTATATATTTCCCAAATGCAAACCATATCCTAAAAAATTACATTTTACAGTTTTATCGGGTGTCAAGATCAAAGTCTTCCCTCTACCACTTATGAAATTCACCCTCCAACCCTTTTGAAAAAGTAGAACAGGTTTCCTGCATCTCCAGTTTTCTAATTTTTTTTCTGGGTCTCTGTTCTTTCTCAAAGACAACCCATTCCTTTGAGCCAGTTGTGTTTCTGGGTCCCATCCCCTGGGTCTTTAGTGGAGTCCTTCCATTCTCAGCACGGGCTTGGACAGAACACTGTCAGAACAGCAGTATCCTCTCAGTGGAGAGTGACCAAAAATTCCAACGATCCAGTCTCTGCTTGCCATGATGAGCTAGTTCGACAGAATTATTGTGACAGTTCTTCTATTTCTGACTTTTCCAACTTTCTTGGCTTCCAGAATTTTCCTGCCTCACTGTTATCCCAGGCTCCTTGTCCCTCTATTTTTAGCTCTCAGATTTCATATCCTGCTTTCTCCATTTCAATTTGATCATGTTAGTCTTATTTTCTGCCTCAGTGAACTGAAACTGGACTACTTCCATTTTTTTTTTTTTCCTAAACCCAAGAGCTTCATTCAGGAAGTGACCTGAGTAGAGTTTCGTTTCAGCTTTTATTAAAGTAACATTCCAACTCTTTGTTCAGAGCCTCACCTGCTGCTCGCCTTTCTCTTGACTGATTTTTCTCCTAATGCCTATGAGAAGCGGGTGGCTCCCGGCTTCCTCAAATGTGGGAAGTGCTGTACTTGACTGAAACTTGGAAAATTCACTGATTCCCCCCAACCCCTGCCCCCTGTCAGCTTTCTTCTAACATTCTTTATCATAATTGCTTAAATTTGTCAATTACTTTATTTCTTAGAAGGATCGCATATTTTGATTCACATTAAGGAGAGTAAGAATCCACCTCTTTTGGGGACACCTGGGTGGCTCAGTCGTTAAGCATCTGCCTTTAGCTCAGGTCATGATCCTGGGGTCCTGGGATCGAGCCCCACATCAGGCTGATCAGTGGGAAGCCTTCTTCTCCCTCTCCCACTCCCCCTGCTTGTGTTCCCTCTCTCCCTGTGTCTCTGTCAAATAAATAAATAAAGTCTATAAAAAAAAAAAAAAGAATCCGCCTCTTTTTGGTGTGGCAAAAGCAAATCTGTCATCTTCACTGAAGGCACACGTCCTTCTGCTGCTATTTATTTATACCTCTGTTATTGCTCTTAGACTACTGACTACAACGGAAAGGTCTGTACTCTAGAATCACATGGCATTCCCGGCTCTACCACTTACTAGCTGAATGAGGTTTGGCAATTTATTTAAGTTCTCTGAGCCTCAATTTCATAATCTGTATAATAGCGATTAAAAAAAAAAAGATTTACCTCTAGGAGCACCTGGGTGGCACCATCGGTTAAGTGTCTGACTCTTGGTTTCGGCTCAGGTCGTGTCTCAGGGTAGTGAGATCCAGCTCCGCATTGGGCTCCACACTCAGCACAGAGTCTGCTGGAGATTCTCTCTCTCCCTCTCCCTCTGCTCCTCCTGCTTGTGCTCTCTCTCTGAAATAAATAGATAAATCTTTTTTTTTTTAAATTTGCTTCTAGGTTTGTTGTAATGCTTAAATGAGATATTATAATGCAAAGCGCCTTGAGCAGTTACTTAGAATTATTTTTTCCTGTTCTATAATAACACTAATTTAACAACTGTGGAATAAGGGAAAGTCATGAAAACTTTTTTTTTAAAAGCTTGGTTACTGCACCTGGACCTGGAAGACTTGTTTTTCTGGGTGAAGAAATATTTTCCCTGGGTGAAGGTTTCATAATCACAGTCAAGCTGGCCCATGAGCGCTACCATTTCAAGTGGCTCTGCTCTTTTATCTCTGATATACCTGCACCCTGGGAATGAGGACACTGATCCAGCTCCTGAGACTCTACAGGATAATCACCGAAGTCTCTTTGAATTCTGTGTTGCCATGATCCCATGGTTTTGGATACCCAGAGCGTAACATGGACACTCTTTGAATTTCACACCATGCAGAGTCATTTTTACTTCCCTGGGACCTCGACTGAGTTTAGAACAGGTAAGTGAGAGGGAAGGAGGCACACAGTGAAGTCGGCCATAGAACCAGTGTTCAACATGGTCATCTGAGAAGTAGAAAGCGAGCCTTTTTAAGTTTACCCAAGCCAGATCAGGTGAGTTAACCTGTGGAGTGGAGTGGAGGGTAGCCTTATACTTTTAAAAAATGGCCAGGGAAATTAAAATTTATCAGAAAAAAAATGAATTCCATCAAGACAAGGGCAAAGCCGTTTATTTAGGAGGGGAAAATGTTATCCAAGTAGAGAGAGACTTTCTGTGAATATGAGCTTGAAATAAAAAGAAAGGAGAGATAACTGACTTTCAATGAAATCCTGTCTGGAAAACACGTAAGTACCACTAATACCCCCATGATCCCTAAATCTAGGCTTCTTTGGTCCCTGTAAAATTATAACACCTTCAGTGTATCTTTAACAGCTTTTTAGGAACATATTAACTAAATGTGCAAGTTCTGATCTGGCCATAAAATATTAGGAGAGCTATGATTCTCTAGGATTAATGAATAACATTTGTTTATTTGATTTACTTGAAAAAATCATTCTAAAATCTGTTTATATATCTGTCCTCTCCAGGATGAACTTTATGGTGGTTCAGCAGACTGTTTACTGTTTCTTCTTCTACTACTTCTTCTTCTTCATCTTTTTTTTTTTTTTTTCATCTTTCCTGCTCAGTGCCCAACCCAAGTTCAAAGGCTGATGAGAGAGGAAAAACTCATGAAGAGGTTTTACTCTAGGGAAATTTGTTCAGTGGATGGGATCTTGGTGCATAGGGAAAGATGTTAGGCTCTTCCTGGCTCCTTCTCAGCCTTGCTGCTCTAACTGCTGCTCAATCCACCACTGAGGATCTGGTCAAGAAATTTTTGGAGAAGTTTAACTATGAAGCTGAAGAGCTGTCTTATCAAAGTTCACTTGCTTCTTGGAATTATAACACCAATATTACCGACGAGAATATCCAAAAGATGGTGAGTTTTCACGGCTACCTAGGGGTATTTGTTGCTTCTTAAGGGTTAGATTACTGCCTGTACAACTGAAAAGGGAAATCAAAGAAATGCTCCGAGTTGTGAGATTGGATGTTTGCTTCAGTATTTCTGATTCTGGAGTCCCAGATGACTAAACTTAATTGACCTTGGGGCTCATTTGGAAGCTGTTACAAAATAATTCACTGGTCTCAGTCCAGATTCTTAGAAACCAGTGAACATGCTTTGTAAAGTTGCCACCATAATTCTCATCATAATCAGGGTTTCAAAGCATTTCACGGAAATGCCATAAGTTATTGAGTTAATAATTTTCCCAAGCCTACAATGTCAACAGGAATATCTAAAGACTCTCTGAAATGATACATTAACTGGAAAATGCAATTGGAGGCTTAGTGAAAAAGCTAGCTAGTAATTAAAGTAACCGTGGGTCTGGAGACTGGATTTGGGTGTTCCTTCCTTCATTGTCATGGAGCTCTAAGGGACTTCCAAAGGTCACAGAATCCATCCAGAGCCCTCGCAGAAAAACCGTAACTAAGCCAGTTTTGACAAATCTCAGAATGCTCTGGGAAAGCCAGATGCTTTGACGAGGGCAAGGATTTAGGAATTTCTTCTCTCACCGATCCCAAAGCTGTGTCCTTACACATTTGTGCTGGAAATTGAGCAACATTACTTAAGAAAAGATTTTGTGACACTTGTATAGCAATACATTCCTTCAAAAATGTAGTTCAGATATTTTTTCAAATGTTGAGTAGGTTGCGTGTTTAAATTACTGCCACTCATGGGACAGATCCAACCTGAGACCTACCACCTCATTTGAAATACCCCAAGAGAAGGTTTTCCATTTTTCTAATGCTCAAGGAAATCCTGGAGATTTTGACAGCCCGGTGTGGTCATAGGAGGTCATTTGTTTCTTGTCTCCTATTTTTTGGTCTTACCTTTCCTGATCTCTTTATTGTTGGTTTTTCCTCACTTTTTATTTGATCTCTGTTGGAGGTACCTAGAGTGTACCATGCATTTGTTTCCATTCTCAGCTGAATGGTCCCGTAGGCGCTGGTGAAGGTGTACCAGCTTCATGCCTCAGGACTCTGGAGCCAGACTGCCGAGGTCCGGATCCCGGCTCCAGCACTTTCCAGCTGGGTGAGCTTCAGCTGGTCAATTAACCTCTCTGCACCTTCATTATCTCACCTGTGTAAAAGAGCATCCCGCTCCTGTCTGCCTTGGAGGGTGGCTGTGAAGCCCGAATTCATACCCAAAGCCCACAGAACGGTGCTCGATGCTTGTGAGCATGGGAGAACAGCACCGTCTTACTGCTCTGAGTGTGGGAGGGAGTTACAACTGCTGAAGAGACATGTAACAGTTCTGCTGAGTGCCCTTTGCTGAGAAGGCATGTTATCGAGCGAGACGGAGTGATGGTTGTTGATAGCATCTCTGGATCATTAGGTGTTATTACTTTTGGATTGCAGTGGTTGATGAGAGCCAAGGCCAGAGAGGAAAGGGCATAAATCACAAAGTGTGGCCAAGCTGCAGAAAGCATGGACCCTTTGAAGGAAAGTGAAAATATTAGAATGCAAAAAGGAAGCAGGGGGCCGCCGGCTACGTGCAGGGAGGGTAGTCCGGTGGTCAGGAGCCGCCGCTGCTGCTTGGCGTAAGGGCAGGCAGCTGGGTAAAAGAGCATGAAGCTAATTTTGGCTAACTCCTTTGGTTTGGAGCAGTTTCGTGGGGTTTCAGACCTAGTTATAGGGCCTGGGGGATAAGCTGAGGTTTTTTTCTTTGCTTTTACTATAGAGAGCTTTTAACGACCGCTTTACTGAGACATAATTTATGCACCATGAACTTCTCCAATTTAAAGTATACGATGCAATGCTTTTTAGTATATTTGCAGAATTGTACAGCCTTCACCACCATCTAATTTTAGAACATCTTCATCCCCAGAAAGAAACCACATGCCTGTCAGTTATCACTCTTCCTCCCAGCTCTTAGCCCTAAGCAACCACTCGTCTACTTTCTGTCTCCATAGGTTTGCCTGCTTTGAACATTTCATATAAATGCAATCATACAGTACATGGTCTCTTGTGATTGGCTTCTTTCACTTTGCACATTGTAGCATGTAGCATTACTTCATTCCATTTTGTTGCCAAATAGTATTCCGTCGTATGATTTTTCTTTATTTTTTATCATAAAAATTTTCAAACATGTATAAAAGAAGAGAGATGAGTATATTGAATTTCCTCATATCCATTGCCCAGTTTACAAATTATTAACACTTTGGCCAATCTTGTTTTAGTTTTCTACTCAACCCCACACTTACTGGAATATTTTGAAGGAAATCCAAAATATGATGTACTTTTATGTGTGTATTGCACCTTCTCGCTCTCAAAGTACTTTTAAAACAACCTTAATAACAGTACCATGCCAAAAACTTAATAACTTCTTCGTGTCGTCAAATATCTAGTCAGCATTCAAATGCACCCTATTTCTTTTTCAATTTCAGCTGTTTTGTTTGAATCAAGATCTAACAAGGTCCTCTCCTTCCAATTGTTTTGAATGATGTACTTTAGCTCTCTTTTAATCTACAGAGTCCCTCCCTCACTTTTTTTTTTTTGAAATTTATTTGCCAAAGAATTAAATTTTGGGTCCTGTAGAAACTCCCACTTCTTGGACTTGCTGATTGTGCCCCCTAAATATTGCTTAACATGCTCTTTTGTCCCCTGCATTTCCTGTAAATGTATAGATCTAGGGAAGAGGGCAGAGCACTTTTTCTGTAAAAGGCCAGACGGTGAATATTTCGGGCTTTGTGGGCTCTATGGCCTCTGTTCAACTCTGCCGTTGTAGGGCGAAGGCAGCCATAGACAATACATAAATGAGTTTGACTATGTTGTAATAAAACTTTATTTACAAAATCAGATGGTGGACAGAGCCCTGATCTAGAGATTTTATCAAACCCAGGTTTCACCCCTGAGTTATTTTATAGGTGTGGAAATAAATTGAATAAATAATAAACAGATACCTTCAAAGTACCTATATGCAGTATAATTTAAAAATGTTCTAAGACTGGGCCCTTTGGGGGATTGTGAGTTGTTTCCAGAGGAGACTGAGAACGAAATCATTCTTGTAATTTGGTATCAAAGTTTTACCAGAAATTTTGCTTGACAGTAAATCATCCTGGATTGGGTGAAGAAGGACAGGGATTTAGAGATAAGTGGTGGGTTGCATAGACGAGTCTGTGCCATAGACCAAAGTCTTCTTTCCATAGCTCACTACTTCCCACTCGTGTGTTACAGAGAAGAACAGAATGTGTTGAATACCATCTATAGTCAACGGTTAGGAGCGTTAGCTTTGGAGGTAAACATATCTGGGTTGGCACTCTGGTTCTTTCAAATTACTAGCTGTGTGACCTAGGAAAGGCTACTTACCCTCTCTGTGCCTCAGTTCCCTCATTTGTGAAGTGGAGACAATCACAGCTACCTCACAAGATTGTGAAGATTAATTGAGAAGTAGTTCCTGAGGGCTTGTATGTGCTCAATAAAGAGAGAAATCATTTTCCATTTTTACTGCCACTATTTTCATCTCTTGTCTGATCCATTGTTGTCATGACCACACACCATTCCCATCATGTCATGTACCTGCTTGGAGCCCCAAAGTGATTCCCTAGAATTCAAAGAATAATAGTCAAATTCCTTGGCCTGGAAAGTGCAGTCCTGCCTGAAGCCCTGCCTTTGGGATTGGTACTAATTATCTGTTGTGTTAAAAACTACCACAAGCTGGGACACCTGGGTGGCTCAGTCGGTTAGGCGTCTGCCTTCGGCTCAGGTCATGATCCCGGGGTCCTGGGATCGAGTCCCGCATCGGGCTCTCTGCTCCGCAGGGAGCCTGCTTCTCCCTCTGCCTCTGTCTCTCATGAATAAATAAATAAAATCTTAAAAAAAAAAAAAACTACCACAAGCTTAACAGCTTAAAATAACACACATTTATTATCCCACAGCTTCGGTGGGTCAGGAGTCCAGGCATAGCTTAGCTGCATCTTCCATTTCTGAGTCTTCTAAAGTTGCAATCAAGGTCCTGGCTAGCACTGTGGTCTCAGCTGAGGCTTGACTGGGGATGAATCCACTTCCAAGCTAATGTGGTTAGTGGTAAGCATCCAGATCCTTGTGTGCTGCTGGACTGAGGTCCTTAGTTTCTTACAGGATATCAACCAGAGGCCATCCTCAATTCCTCAACACGTGGCCCTTTCCAAAGGGTCATTCACAACATGGCATCTTGCTGCATCAAAGTCAGCAAGGGAGACAAAGTTTAAGCAAGATAAAAATAAGATTCTTTTATAACATAAATATGTACATCCTGTCACTGTTGGTATATGCCACTGGCTAGAAGTGAATCATGGCTCCTGCTCACACTCAAGGGGGAGGAGATCATACAAATGTGTACCACCCGGAGGTAAGGATCATGGGATCCATCTTAGAGTTTATCTACCACAGGATCCAGGATCCAGATGCTGTCAGTTGATTGCCATAACCACTTTTTCTCTCAGCCCCTTTATGCAGATATGAATAATGGAGACAGAATGATTTTCTATCTCATGGGAGTAGGAAGATCAAATGAAGTAAATTATTCTACAAAGTACTCTACATCCATCCAACTCCTACCTACTTTAGGGTCTTCTCCATGAGGGCTTGGCCAAATCTAGTTGCCCGCATGAGTCTTTCTTTTCCTATAGCAGGAACTGACCACTCAAAGTTTATACATTATCATATGCTCTTATATTTCATTAATGAAACATTCATGATGCATACCTTATCTTATAAGGTCATACCTGCTTATAAAACTGTAAGCAACTTAAGGACAAAGAAATTTTTTCTATAAATTATAAAATAGCTAACTTTTTTGAATGTTTAGGATGTATCAGATACTGTGATAAACATTTTATTATTTGTTAATTCTTCTCATCCTTACAACAGCCCTTTGAGGTAAGTCCTATTATTACTCTCATTTTACAGATAAGGTAACTGACTCAGAGAAGGTAAGTAATTTGTCTAAAGTCACACAGCTAGTCAGAGGTGTCTGACTACAAGAATGGAGTTCTTTTTTGTTTTTAAGATTTTATTTATTTGTCAGAGAGAGTGCACAAGCAGGGGGAGCGGCAGGCAGAGGGAGAGGAAGATGCAGGTTCCCCGCTGAGCAAGGAGCCCCATGTGGGACTCTATCCCAGGACCCTGGGATCATGACTTGAGCCGAAGGCAGACACTTAACTGACTGAGCCACCCAGGCGTCCTTGGAGTTCTTACTTGTCTCATATGCTACCTCTTTTATATAGTCTAGAGAAGTACAGTGTACAAAGTAATAGCTCATTTTCATCTTTGATAAATGGAAATGAGTTTGTACATTGAGAAAAGACTGTACTAGAGGAGTCTGGAGATCCACTTGCCTATACTGATGTTCAAGATGGGGGGCAGGTGAGTTCTGGCATCATCCCCTGTTTGTTGGTTTCTTTTGCTGTTAGAAAATCACCATGGCTACCAAGTGGCCATATCCTGGGCAACCTTCTTTGGGGAACATAATTTAAGATCAGAATCTCTGGTAAGTCGTGGCATTATGGAGCTCACTGCAAACTGTTTCTCATTTCTTATGGTTCCAATTGTCATGAGGGGCTGTATCCCCATTAAGTTTGCTCTGAGCTTTACTGGGCCCTCCCTTTAGAGCATTCATCCTCAAATCCTTGATTAACTCACCCACGTCATAGTGCTAAGGCCATAAATTCCAGGGCCCCACAATGTGAATTATCTGTGAGAATTCATTTCCAGTTCAGGGGATAGGACCCTTGGGAAAACTAGGCACTGGGCCAGAAAGAGAGAGTGACCAAGAATGGCCTGGTCACTCATAACCTAAGCCTTGACCTTCAGCAAAGTAGAGAACTAAACCACTCAGGAAATATTAGATATTCCACCAGATGTTTTTTGGACGGTATCTTCTGTTCTATCTGTTCAAGCAGTGCCATTCTGACTTCAACTTTATTTTTTGTCATTTCAGAATGATGCTGGGACCAAATGGTCTGCCTTTTATGAAGAACAGTCCAAGCAAGCCAAAACTTACCCACTAGAAGAAATTCAGGATTCTACACTCAAGCGTCAATTGCAGACCCTTCAGCACAGTGGGTCATCAGTGCTCTCAGTAGACAAGAGCCAACGAGTATGTGAACATTCTAGCACTGACCCCAAGAGCTGAAATATTTGGGAAACATTAAACATTAATATCCCCATGGCTGCTTCCTTTATCTGCAAAGATGATAGTGATGCTGACATTAGAAAGAGCTCTGTGCCTAGGTAGGGTGACCACAGAATTTGTCATCCAAACTGGAATCCTTTTGCAAGTGAAAGAAGTCACTGGTAATAATTATGTTAGGACACAGAGTTAAACTGGTGTTGTCTGGGCACTGTGTTATATACGCATACCATATACAGAAGTCACCTTCCTGAGGACCAGGCAGCCTGAAGAATATGCTTAGTCTATGTCAGTCGTGATCAACTGGGGGTGATTTTGCCCCCCAGGGACATTTGATGATATCTGGAGACATTCTTGGTTGTCATAACTGGAGGAGGGGGGCAGCTATTAGCATCTAGTGGGTAGAGGCCAGGGATGGTGCTAAGCATTCTACAATGCACAAGACAGCCCCCAGTGGCAAAAAATTATGTGGTGCAAAATGTTAATAGTGCCAAGCTTGAGCAGTCCCGTATGTGGTCCAATTCTTTCCCCCTTTCATTTTTGACTCTTCTCTGCAATGTCTTTAACAAGTGGCTAAGAACCTCAGCTCAGACTGCTTTAGAGGTGGGTGATTCATCTCTTTCCAAGACATCCATTCCATAGGTGGGCCCCCCTAATTGATGGAGATACTCCCTCCATTGAGCATTAAGTGCTTTACCTCCACTTTGTTCCGCCTCCTGGTCCAAATTGCTCTTTCCTACAATAGTTTTTAAATAAATGAGGGCAGCTATATATTTTTTAAACTAGTTGAGTCCTTTTATTTTAATCTAGGCTAACTATCCTTCACTCTGTTAATTTTCCTCTACACAGTGGTTTCAAGTTTCCTAACCAGTCCTGGCTGCTGTCTTCATTATGTCAGTAACCTTAAACTAAACACCGCACTCTGAGTTGGTTCCGGTCTGCATGAAGGTGCACAGGAATATGACAGTCTGCTTCCTGTGCCCTACATCTATTAAGACAGTCTAGGACTATATTAGGTTTTTGTTTGTGTGGGTTGGGTTTTTTGACAGTCAAATTCCATGTTGGCTCATATCAACATCACTGTCAATGAAGTCTCCAAATCTCTTCCATCAATGTTGCTCTAAAATGATAGCTTTCAGGGGCGCCTGGGTGGCTCAGTCGTTGAGCGTCTGCCTTCGGCTCAGGTCATGATCTCGGGGTCCTGGGATCGAGCCCCGCATCGGGATCCCTGCTCCACGGGAAGCCTGCTTCTCCCTCTCCCACTCCCCCTGCTTGTGTTCCCTCTCTCGCTGTGTCTCTCTCTGTCAAATAAATAAATCTTTAAAAAAAAAATGATAGCTTTCAAAATTCTATTCTTAACTAGGTTGTTTGTTCAAATTTAGGAAAGCCTGTATTCGCCCTGTTAAAATAACATCTCTCATCCCATCTCTCTAGCCTGGGAGCCAGCAGATATTTTTCTGTAAAAGAAAAGATAGTAAATATCTTGGGTTTGGTGGGCCATATAGTTTCTGTCATGATGAGTTAACTGCTGTTGCAGCAGGAAATCAGCATAGCTAATACATAAACAAATGAGTGTGGCTGTGTTCCGATAAAACTTTACAAAAACAGGCAGCAGACGGTATTTGGTCTGCAGATCATAGTTTACAGACCCCTGATCTAACCTATTAAAACATTTTAATCTAAAATATTTGACTATTTAACATCAAAGTCTTCTTTCTCAGTTGCTTGTCCTCTGGAACTCTGTTGTAATCCCCATCTATAAAAAGAAAAAATTAATGATAAGGACAAAGATAAAACCATATGGCATATATCTTCCTACAAGTTGATATTTATTATTCCACATTCTTTGGATCCAATTATCCAACTCCTTGTTAATCCACTTTATCTTATCCATTCCATGCTTCCCCATGTTTTTCACAAAGACACCATGTGAAACCTTGCCCATTGATCTTTTAGAGTCTAGACAGCTAGATGGAACCTGGACACTGTATTTTTATAAGATCCCAGGTAATTCTAATGTGCAGCTAAAGTTGAAAACCGCTGAAATGCCTGTAAAAGCTTGGAGTGTTTGGGAAGAGAGGAGACTCAAGGATGCATGAGTTCAATGGAGAGGAAGGAGGAGAGATTGAAAAAGCAGGTAGACAAAGAGACCATGAGGAGTTTTGTGCCATGGTAAGGAATTTGGATTGATGCATTTGGACTATGGGATCTTGTTGAAGTGTTAAGCATGGGCTCTATTTCATGTTCTAGGATAATGACTCTTGTAGCAGAATGAAAGAATAATGGAAGAGGGAATAGGAGAAGGGAAACAGAGTCTTTCATCCAGTGCTTCTTAAATCAAATGTGGAAGAGAACCAGTTCCTCCCCTTCCCTTCCCTTCCTTTCCCTTCCCTTCCCTAGCCTACCCTTCCCTTCCCCCTCCCTCCCTCCTTTTCTCCCTCTCTTATTCCCTTTCTTCTTTTATTACCAATCCATTGCAGATGAATACTTGGTTTACTTCATTGCTCTCATGCCTAGATGTCGTGGGAATATCAAATGATTTTTAAAAGTTTATAAACATTTATTCTCTTTTAAAAAAAACATTTATTCTCTTGATTCCTGTACTTATCACAGAATAGAAACAAACCATTTACTGTCTTGCACTGGTCCACAGACCATACTTTGAGTAGCACTGCTTAACTCTACTACCTTTACTCTCCTTTACCTACAGGGTAAAGTTTAAACTCTTTAGTGTGGCACAGATGGCCCCTCACGACCTGGCTCCTGCTGACCTCTCCATCCTTACATCCCCCACTTCCCTCAGTCAGCATCACTATGCCAGTTTCCTTCAACGTGTCATCATTTCTGGAAAATGCCTGCTCTTTCCCAACCTCCATCCACCTTTTAGCTTCTGCCTTCTCTCTCCTTTTTCTACTTGGCTAATTTGTACCTCTCTTCTAAGACACAGCGCTAATGCCCCCTCCTCTCTGAAGCCATCCCTGAATCTCCAAGTTCTTCATTTATCCACTCCCCGCCAGACTGCCACATCACTTTTTCATGACAGTTATACCACTTGTCACTTGGTTATGTAATTATGATTTCATGGCCCCACTGTCCCATGACTTGAGGACCAGTGACTTGTTCATGTCAGAGTTATCGGAGTGTAGGACATAGTAGATGTTCAGTAAATGTGTACTCAGAGAATGCTGGACAAGACAACAAATGCCCGTCTCCGTGCATGTGTACTTGAGCAACGTCCCCAGAATTTTGGTAGATCTGTTTATTTCAGTCACTCCACATATATTTATTATGTGTATCTATCTAAGGTTCTGTGTTAGTTAATACGGGGGAATTTAACAGAGATATTCCTACCCTACATAAAGGAGGATACTTGGCAAAGATGGGAATTGCTGTATTTTGAGGGCATAAAAAAATCACATGGTCAAAAGGACATCTTTACCTTAGCATTCCATACAGCACATTTCCCAGTTTAAACATTGTTTGTTATGTTTAATTTGCAGTTGAACACAATCCTAAATGCAATGGGCACTATCTACAGTACGGGAAAAGCTTGTAACCCAAATAATCCACAGGAGTGCTTATTACTTGAGCCAGGTAGGTTATTAATTTTGAGAAATGATTGTGAAATTTAAGTTTTAAGGATTTTATTTATTTGTTTGTTTATCTGAGGGAAAGAGAGAGAGAGAGCATGTGCCTGTGTGTGGGGTTTTGGGGCAGCATTCCAAGGAATTTAATTAAGTTAGTAGCTAAATGATTTCAATGGTTTATTTTCTCTGCAGAAATATTTTGAAACTATAACAAGGATGAAGAAATTGATAAATCGTGAGATTTCATTTAATAACCTTATGACCTTGATGTCTGCCAGTCTTACTTTTAATTATGTAAAGCTCATATAATTGTTTGCAAATAAAAATATTAGAAATGTATGTTGATTTCCTATTGGGTGCTTTGCAATGACAGGTTTGGATGACATAATGGCAAACAGCAGAGACTACAATGAGAGGCTTTGGGCCTGGGAAGGCTGGAGGTCTGAGGTTGGCAAGCAGCTGAGGCCATTATATGAAGAGTATGTGGCCCTGAAAAATGAGATGGCAAGAGCCAACAGTAAGTTTGCCGGTCTAAAGAGGTCCTGAAGCCCTCTATGGGGCTGTGGGCTATTTCTCATGAATTACCAAGGCTGCCCTTTGATAGAAGAAGTATCCCTAAATTAATGATCATCTGCTGAACAAATTCAGGTTATGTGTCTCAAAGAAGAAACTACTAGGGAATAGGGAATGGTGCACTGACATTCTACAGTTTAGAGAGCTCAGAAATGAGACTGAACTACAGGGCGTCAAACAAATCAGTTGTCTGGGGATGTATCAGGAACCTGAGGTAGCCTGGAGATTGAGTAGGGATTCTAGTTCTTCGACAGGATGGGAGACAGAGACACTGTCTCTCACCTAAACTCCTATCTGGCCACAGTTTATTCTCAAAGGCCATTTGTGTCTTTAACTCAAGATGGTGTCCCAGAAAGAAAATAAAATCAGATTAATTTAGGCTGGAAATCCATTCTGTTCTGCAGTTGTAATTATAACTCAGATCGTGTGGTCATAAAACTCTTAACATGGGGCAGAATTTCCATATCTCCTAACTTATTCTCCTGCCTGAATAATGAGCTGAAGCTATGGCATTATGAGTAACGTTATGCTTTGGTGATTCACTGCCCCCTGGGGTTGAGGAAGGAAGAAATTTTTTTTTTCATCTGTTGTTTCTAAATGTCTTTCACTGCCACTTAAACTGATATTCTCAAGCCACAGGCAAACTGGAGACTGTAGCTCATCACCATATCCTTCCATCCAAAGAGTTCGTTCTCTCTTCCTTCTGATCATCCATTGCCAGTGTGCATGTAAAAGTAAACATTATCAGAACAGATTTGCAAACGTTATCGGCTAACATCCTAATGCAAGCTTGTGTTTGCTGATGCATAGATACTGCATGAAGCGCAGAGAGATGTTCTGTGCCGACATGGAATTTGCAAACAAACACAGGGCCCCTGTGGCAAGGTCTAAGATGAGTTAGATGTGAAAATATAAGGCCCTGAACAAAAGGAGAATTTAAAAACTCAAATCCAATCACATGGTAGAAAGCCAAAGCTACAAACTGAAGTCTGGAGAAGGTAGAGACCGAGGGTTAGGGGACTCGCAGTGTGCCTTTGCCCCTTACCAGTGGGGTAACCCTGGACAAATGATTTCACTGTCTAAGAACAGCCTGCTAATCTGCATGGTGGGGACTTTGATAATGTCAATCTTGTAGAGTTTTTGTGCTTATTAGATGAGATAATGCGTTAAAATTTCTGGTAGAGAGCAAGTGCTTGACAGACACTAGCTAGCATTATTATTCGTTTCATCCCTTTGAGGGATACTGCCCTATCACTTAGAAGGGCAGTAAAAATGTGACAGATCTTTGGATTTTTTAACCTCCCAGCAAGGTTATTCGATGTATACAGCGCCTCATCTCTTTCTTTCCCTTACGTTCTCTTACTTCTCCTTTTTAAAAACAGATTATGAGGACTATGGGGATTATTGGAGAGGAGATTATGAAGAGGAGTGGACAAATGGCTATAACTATAGCCGCGACCAGTTGATTAAAGATGTGGAACAGACCTTCACCCAGGTAACCAGGGGACCGATGTAGGGCAGTGCATGGGAGGAAGGGGCAATGACCAAAAGCATTCTGGCTTCTTCTTACCACACTCGTCAGCTATTCCCAGGCCTCAGAGTTATGGAATATTAGAGCTTGAAAAGATTTTAAAGAATAATAGGGCAACCGCTATGGATGATCAGAACTGCTCTGCTTTCCTCCCCTTTCCAGCCACTGAACTCACCAGCAATTACCAAGAGCAAGATTATAAGAAGGAAAGATTACAGGGAGGAATGGTCTTTTAGACTTCAAACTTCTTATGTAGACCGACTCTGTCATAGCCTTAGTTAGGCAGAGCCATCAAAAATGGAAGTTGGAGAGGGGCGCCTGGGTGGCTCAGTTGCTTAAGCTTCTGCCTTTGGCTCAGGTCATGATCCCAGGGTCCTGGGATGGAGCCCCTCGTTGGGCTCCCCGCTCAGTGGGGAGTCTGTTCGTCTTTCTCCCTCTCCCTCTGTCCCCACCCCTCCTCCCCGGCCGCTCATGCTCTGTCTCTCTCAAATAAATAAATAAATAATCTTAAAAAAAACCTCACCACACACACGCCAGAATGGTTTTGGTTAAAAAAGCAGGTGCTGGTGTGGGTGTGGAGACACTGCCAACAGAAATGCAAAATGGCGCAGCTGCTGGGGAAAGCGGTTTGGCGGTTTCTTAAAAAGTTAAACATGCACTTATCATGTGACTAAGGTATTCCACTCTTAGGTATCTATATGAGAGAAATGAAAATATAGATCCATACAAAGACTCACACATGCAAGTTCATAGAAGCATTATTCATAATAGCCCCAAACTGGGAACAACCTAGTTGTCCTTAACTGGTGAGCTGTATCCATGAGATACTAAATGAAGCAAACTCAGATGTATTCATACAATGAAACACTACTCAGTAGTAAAAAGAATGAACTACTGATACATCAGTAACATGGATGAACCTAAAAATCATCCTGAGTGAAAGAAGCCAGATACAAAAGGTCACATACTTTATGATTTCATTTATGTGAAATTTCCAGGATAGACAAAATTGTAGAAATAGCAATCAGTTCAGTGATGACCTGGGGCTGGGGGTGGGACTGGAATTGACTGCAAATGGGGACAAGAGTTTTGTCCAACAGTATAAATTTACTAAAACTCAGGAAACTGTACATTTAAAAATGGGCGAATTTTATGGGCTGTAAATGTACTTCAATTTAAAGACAAAGGAAGTAGGTAACATCTTTAAAATGAATATTTTTTGCATCTGCTTTCATTTTGGGACCTGTATTCCTCCAGGTGTGTTAATTGTTTTAAGCAGTAAAACTAGTCATCATTAATATCTGGGAAGAAGAGATGCTTTCAAACTCTCCAGAGTATTTGAGAGGAGAAGAAATTAGAATTTAGGGAAATTCTACTTGCCTAAAGAGGCTCCTATCTTTAGTGTTGGGGATTGGAAATTGGAGTAGACTACTCTTGGTCTTAAATTTTCTTCCTGGGCCTTTCAGATTCAACCATTGTATGAACATCTTCATGCTTATGTGAGGGCAAAGCTGATGGACACCTACCCTTCCCATATCAGCCCAACTGGATGCCTCCCGGCCCATTTGCTTGGTAAGAAACTCCAGGAACTCTTTGTGTAGTTTGTTCTCTGTTATTTTCACCAATAACCTTTTTTTTTTTTTTTTTTTTTTTAATGAGGCCCAACATAGAACTTTTGGAAAATTTTGTGAATGAAGTTAGTAACATTATCGAAATCACATTTTGCCAGCACTTTCTTTGACATAAAAGCCATTTAAAATTGTTCTCCATTGCATTACTTTATTTTACACATAAAGGGTTATTATTTGGCCACAGTCCAAAGGATAAAGGGGTTATTTAAGATAACTAGGGAAAGAACTCCAAGTTCAAATGAGAGCGGAAATGGGGAAAATAAGTTTTATAATTTAAATTGATTGGCTAAGCTCTTGAGGTGGAGTTTGGCATTTTAGTATTATATTGTCAGAGGAATGAAGCTTGGTAGGCTGGGGGTGGTCAGGGGTGAGAGAAAGGCTTTCTAGAATTAAGGTATAGCTTGAGTGAAAGTTTCATAAGTTTATTCTAAACTGCACCAATTACTTTCACTGCAAAGTATGTGCTTTGGAATTATATGGGTTTTGAATGAAGTCTTTGCCATGAAGACAAATGCCTAGCTTAAGAGGAGACTCAGTCTTCCAAGAACTTTCTATCCTGCCACAGAGCCTTTATAGGCCATGAAAGTCCTGGAGCCCTTTACTGAATTGCCTAATTTCCTTCCAGAGAGTGGCCATCCTTCCTTCCCCTCTACCACTCCCTAGAAGCTGAAGCCAAATAAGATATATACGTGTTTGGAAAGTTCCTGTCATGCGTACATAGCATTCCTACCAAGCTAAGTTGCTGGTGGCTAATTCTTCTCAAGAGCCAAAGCTCTCTCTCAGCAGGAGAGAATATGGACAAAGGAACTGTGGAGACTTTTACTCCAAGGCAATATGTAAATACTCTCTACAATGTCTTTGGTAGGCTTTCTTTAGTAATTCAGTTTCTGCTTAAACCTATCTGGTGTGATGTGGCTCTTTCTTCCTTCCAAGGTAGGCCAATCTATTGCTATGTGGCACCAATTATAAGCAAGTTCTACCTTATGTGGGACTGAATCAACACCCCTCTAATGCCTTGCACTCATTACATCTAATTCCATGATATGAGGTTACCCAGAATATGTCCATTCTTCTTCTATAAGATGGCCTTCTGGATCTTTTAAACAACCATTGTATAAGGCACAGCATAGTACTTGGCACAAGAGTATATAATCGATATATTTTAGAGGGTATTATTGTTACCATCATGTATACACTCTTTGCTTCTTTCCAGTGAAATACAGATTTTTAGCCATTCCTTAAAATCTTAATTTTCTAATTGTTCTCCTTTGGACAAGCTAGGCTTTGTTGATGTCTCTCTTCAAATACCATGCTCAGAACTGAACCATTACTCCAGATGAGGTTTGGCCAATATAGAGCAAAAATGGTACCATGCCTTCCTTTGTTCTAGACACTATAATTCTATTTATTTACCTTAAGATCACATTTGTGTTTTGGAAGCCATGTCACACTGTCTCTTGGGTCCCTTTTGGTCTTTTACATGTAGGCTATGTTTCAGCCTGAAGTCACTTATCACATATTTTTATAGTGGATACACCTTCCTTTAAAATTTAAGCAGAGGGGCACTTAGTCAGCTAAGTGTCTGCCTTCGGCTCAGGTCATGATCCCAGGGCTCCCTGCTCAGTGAGGAGTCTGCTTCTCCTTTTCCCTCTGCCCCTCCTCCCTGCTTGTGCTCGTTCTCTCTCAAATAAATAAATAAATAAATAAAATCTTTAAAAATAAATAAATAAAATTTAAGCATAGGCCTCTATTAGGCCTTACCTCTACTGAATTTTATTGTTTAAAACATGAGTTCATTGGAATATTCTTCATGTAGTTATGTTGCCCCCTTCCTTTGGTGCCAACATCCTGGTCTTGCTATTAGATTGACTTTTTCTAGATCCATCTTGCCTTTTAGGGTCTCTGGCCTGGGAATCCAATTTAGCATTTGTTTGAGATGTTTGGAAAATTGCCCAATTAAGTGTATTACTATAGTATACTGATAAAGGTGGAACTTTGTTACTAGTTAGTAGAGATTCCTGGATGATGATCCTATATGATCTCTCTTGAGTCCAATATTAGGAATTACTAATAGTCTAGCTGGCAATATTTTGTTCCATGGATGGTAGATTATATAAATCTGTTTCTAATCTATAGTAGCTATGATGTTCCATATATTTAATAAATTGTGCCTTTGAATTGTAATTCAAAATGGGAGAAACAGGGATAATCTCCTGCCATTTTAACCTTTTAGAGGAGATAGTAAAAGAAGGGAGTGTTGAAAATTGTAAATAAGAGAACAGAAAAAGAGGTAATGAAAAGAAACTAGATTAAATTTAGAATACTGTGTGGCCTATTTACCGATCCTAACTTATGCACTGTGTAAAATCAGGTCTATGCTTCTGCTGCCTTTGCTATGTATTAACAAAATCTTTTTTTTTTTTTAATAGGCGATATGTGGGGTAGATTTTGGACAAACCTGTACCCTCTGACAGTCCCCTTCAGACAGAAACCAAACATAGATGTTACTGATACAATGGTGAACCAGGTAGGAAGAGGCCTTAAAAACCAAATCTAAATCCTCAACTTCATTTCTTTTTCTGCCACTCTTCCTTCCTTTTCTTTTGCATGTAAAACCATGTAAATAAAAAAATGTTAAGCTAATTTAAATGTATTTCTTGTGGGGGGCCTGGGTGACTCAGTCGGTTAAGCATCTGACTCTTGGTTTCAGCTCAGGTCATGATCTCAGGGTCATGAGATCGAACCCCGGCTCCATGCTCAGCACAGTCTGTTTGAGATTCTTTCCTCCTCCCTCTCCCTTGCCTTCTGGCCCTTTCCACGCTGGGGCATGTGCACACACACACTCTCTCTCTCTCTCTCTCTCTCAAATAAATAAATAAATAAATAAAATCTTAAAAAATAATAAATATATTTCTGATGTAGCTCTCTTTTCATGGAAAAGTAATTTACAATGTCAGTGACATCAAGTACCTTGAATGATAAGTATGGTATTGATCTTGCTGAGAGATATTAAAAATGGAGATGACCTGAGTTTTCCATCAAGCAGTAAGATGTGGAATTATCGACTGGTTGGCATTACTCTTTCCAGAATTAGTCACCACTAAGTAATCAGTCTGTAGTCTCTATGAACAGAAAAAATGATATCATTAGAAGATTTTAAAAAAGGGGCGCCTGGGTGGCTCAGTTTGTTAAGCGACTGCCTTCAGCTCAGGTCATGATCCTGGAGTCCCAGGATCGAGTCCCGCATCGGGCTCCCTGCTCCGCGGGGAGCCTGCTTCTCCCTCTGCCTCTGTCTCTCTCTCTCTGTCTCTCATGAATAAATAAATAAAAAATCTTTAAAAAAAAAAAAAAGAAGATTTAAAAAAAAATCATTATTGTTAAAAATACTATAGGAATCTTTAAAATAATTTTTATATTACTTTTTGTTACCATCCTTGCGTAATTGTTTAAATTCACCGTGTTCCCTACCATGGGTGAAGTCATGTTATAATTATATGTTTTTCTTTATTCAGCTGATAGTCTACATTTTTCGGGTACAATGTATGGTCATACTTCTCTTGGCTGTATAAAATGTCTTCAGAGAGTTGCACCATGATTTCCTTTCCTATAAGCAGCCATGCAGTGAACATCTTCCCGTATATAACATGCTCCTGGGGAAAGGCCACAGCAAAATAAAAACGTGAAGCTGCAGGGCCTCCAAACTCCCGAAGCTGTGCTCGGCCTGGTTTCACAGGTGAGGAGCAGCAGAAGTTCATCTGCACATAGCTCCTCAGCCTGCTTCCGGTGTTAGTACACGCACCATCTCTCCTAAGGTCGTCTTGACAACACACGAGACTGTCAGGATAGGGATGGTGATGGATCCGTGTTGTAGGTGAGGAAACTGAGGCCTGGGTAAATGTCTTGCCCGAAGTCACAAAGACAATCAGTGGCAACAAAGGTTTGACCTCAAAACTCCTAATATTTCCAGTCTCATTTTCCATTCGTTCCTTCTGCATTTAACAGACATTAACTGTGCTTACTAGCCTGCGCTGTTTTGGTATACAGATGTTCTTTCTGCTTGAGAATGCCATACCTACTAATACCAATATTGCCTTTAAAGGGCAATAATAAAAAACATCCCCAGTGTCACATCCTGTTTCATATCCCTGAGGCGATAGAGGAGAAAAACCAGACTTGACTGGTCTTTGAGATCAGAGGAAGTTTTCTGTGTCACCAGAAGTGATTTATGAATTATCTGTCACCTGCACAAACTTAGCTTTGTGGTCCTTTTCCCCAAAGAAGCCCTGATCAGCTCCCAGAAGAGTTTGCTGGATGGCAGACACCTACTGCTGCCCCTTTCTGGTTCCAGAACATTCTGAAACTTTAGATTCCCATACGGACTATGAAGCCAAGGCCCAGCTACTTACTGGCTACTGGGTCACACTCAGGCCTTTTGGGTTCCAAAAGTCCATGACTTTGTCTGCACCTTAATGTTTATGTCTTCCACTGAGCCTAACACCAGGGCCTCCCCCCACTTGAAGGAGCTTGATCAAGGATTGTTGGCTTGAGTTGAATAGTTCTTTAGGAAAGAGAAGGTCATTGTTGTTTGCTTATACTTGGAATATAAAGCATAAAAACAAAAACATCACACATAATCTCACACAGTCTACTGTTAATTTTTTGTGTATTTCCTCATTAATATCACATTATATAAGTGGTTTATATATTCTACTTTTTCACTTAATATTAAATTACAAAAAACATCAATAAAAAGTCTTTATGAATGGAATTTATTTAGATTTTCCATTCCACGAAGACATCATTATGTATTTAACCATTCTGGTGGTGGTTTCCACTTTTTTGTCTATTAAAAATCATTTTACATGTTGTATACCTTAAATTTACACAATGTGATGTGTCAAGTATATTTCAATATTTAAAAATAATAAACAAAAAAACCCATTTTAAATGTAATTCTTTGACCTAACTTCTGAGAATTTCCTAGGTTAGTTCCCTAGAGACAGGATTACTGAGACAAAGAGTGTAAACACTTTGAAAGCTTGACATGTCCGTACATGTTGCCAAATTGCCTTCCAGAAAGGTTATGCCTATGTACATAGCCAACAGAAAGAATGCTGTTATTTTAATGCTGGAATGAAATGCTGTTCTTTTTTTTTTTTTTTCTTTCAGAGCTGGGATGCAAGGAGGATATTTGAGGAGGCTGAGAAATTCTTTGTGTCTGTTGGCCTTCCCAACATGACTCAAGGATTCTGGGAAAACTCCATGCTAACAGAGCCAGGCGACAGCCGGAAAGTGGTCTGCCACCCCACAGCTTGGGACCTAGGGAAGCATGACTTCAGGTAGTGAGGATGATCCTTACAAAGCTGATACTAAACTGGGAGACAATGGAGGCAGGAATGAGGATGGATTTGGATTTCTTCTCTGCTTCTCTAAGCACAGAAGAGATGTGTGAACTCTCCTTAAATGAGGACTCGGGAGTCCATGAGAGCACATCTGGGCTTTTCCAGGAAAAGGGGATTGTCAGCAGGCCCTAACTTGAACTTTAGCCCGTCTGCCTCATTTGAAATAATATGCACCCATTAGATTTGCCTGGTCATGGGAAGGGTGGTGTCCCCGTGAGAAAGATTTGGTGCTAAGATTTATGGAAGATGGCTGGGTGGGTCAGGCATTGTTCTTCCCCTCCATGTTTCTCTCTTATGAGTGAGACAGGACAGGTGAATAAATAAGCTGGGATAAAAGAGAGAAGGTGGTACGTGTTAGAAGAGAACCACAGAGAACACTCTATAGGGAATTGGAAGAGAACTGACTATACCCGGAATAGGATGTAGGCTCAGACAGGGCTTTTCAGGTGACATTTGAATTAGGCTTGAAAGACGAGAAGGGTTTGGACAGACAGGGCTGGGAGGAGGACACTGGGCTGGAAGAAAAGCAGGATCAAATGCAGAGAGGCAGGGCCTGGCATTGTGTACTAGAACCAGCAAGTTAGGCTAGAATAAAGGTCATGTGAAGAAGGGTCTGTGATACAGCAGAATGTGCACAGGCTTTCGAATCCCAGGTGTGTAACTTAATGACTAGGTAGCGTTGGGCAAGGTATTCAACCTTCTTGGGTTTCATTTTCCTTATCTCTAAAAGGGAGTGGTAATCCCCAGGTAGCAGCTTTGTGAGTGTCTTAGGTTGGGTTCCCCAGCTTGAGAAGAAGATTCTGGTACAGATGCTTCACTGAGGGACAGACGTCAGGCAAAAGGGGGTGAGGGAAGAGGGGTAGGCAGGGGAAAGAGTTAAGTAAGGATGTGGCCTCTGTTGGAGACTTGGCCTCAGCCTGATCCCACGGGGCTCTCTGGACCCCGATTTGTACCACAGTTGGTCACACCTTGAGAAAAGAGGACTGGCCTTTTGTACCCCCACATTAGTCAGTCACTGGCTGCGGACTGCCCCAGAGTGTGGGAGGACACATTCTCCTGGTTGAGGCACCTCTCACTTAGCCAAAGGCAGTGCACAAGGAAGCAGCTGTTGGCTTTTAAGGGCTATGTGACGCAGTCACAATGGGGGATGGGTGGATCTGCCTGGGAGAGCTGGTCTGGGCAGGCCCCCAGCAGCATCCACTCGAGTAGGGCCTGACAGTCCTGTTCTGTAAAGGGCTGGATAGTAAATAGTCCAGGCTTTGCAGGTCTCTGCTGCAACGATTCAGTTCTGCCCTTGTGGCATCAAAGCAGCCACGTACCGTACGTAAACAAATGGCACCTGTGTTCCAACAAAGCCTCATTTATCAAAGCAATTCACTGACTCCCGTACTAGAGAGAGCCTTAAAAATGAGGGAGTACATGTAAGTTTCCTAGCCCAGGCTCTTAGGTACTGTAGACACTAAACACACAGTAGCTCTTCTTGTGATTGTTTCAAAAGAGAATAGAGAAAAACCAGGTTAGAAAGGCAGGTCTTACTGGGCTGTATTAAGGAAGCTGAGTTTCTTCTTGAGCACTGGGGGAGACTTACAGGGTGTTTATCAGGGGGATGACATGGTCAGAGGGGTAAGAAAATTAATTTGGGAACCTACTGAAATATGCCCCCTGCATTCACTGGAATGGAACTGCTCTTGCCAAGCTGAACAGGACCACTGTCAATTGCCGAATGCAGTCCTTATTGAATTGGGCCACTGCAGCCTTACACGGTGTTTACAAGTTTTCTTCAAAATGCTATTTTTCATTGGCTTCTGCATTGTCATGCTCTTCTGGACTTCTTTGACTCCTCTCTCTCTCTCCCCCTCCATCTTCTCTGAATCATCTTTCTCCACTCCGTACATACTGGGACCTCCTAGGGCTCTGTTTTTGGCCCTCTTTCCTTGCCATTCTATGCCTGCTTCATGGGCCATCACATCAACTCCCTGACTTAAAATGCTAATGACTCCCAAATATCAATTTCCAGCCCCTTCTCCTCCTACTTCTCTATCTTGGCTCTACCAAACTGCCTGCTGTGTCCTGAATGCTACACCCTTTTCTCAAGCCTTTTTCAATGAGCACTTCAAGGAATGTCAATGTCTTGTCCCTCCCTGCCATCTACCTGGCAAACTTCTACATGTTGATCAAGGTCCGGGTTGCTCATTGCATCCTCAGTTATGCCCTTCTCAGTGCTTCTAGGAGACTGTGCCTGCATTCACTTATTGTTATGCCCAAGGCCATGTCTACTGATCACTTACAGAGTACTTGCCTGAGAGTTTTTGTAGTAGAAGACTCTGCTTATCTTTCTATTAGTTTGTGAGCAATAGGTTTCAGCCCTGCCCATCGCTTTATATTGAGCACCTTGTACTGTTTCTAGGACATAAAAGGTAAGTTCTCAAGATTCATTGGTGAACAAATCTTGGAATGATGAACCATGCTACCAAAATCCTATACTGCTCTTACTGTGATGATTAAATCAAATTCATTGAGATTCATTTTAATCTTGCCCGTTTTTGTGCAGGATCAAGATGTGCACAAAGGTGACGATGGATGACTTCCTGACAGCCCATCATGAGATGGGACACATCCAGTATGACATGGCATATGCTGCACAACCCTTCCTGCTAAGAAATGGAGCTAATGAAGGGTTCCATGAAGCTGTTGGGGAAATCATGTCACTTTCTGCAGCTACACCGAAGCATTTGAAAAACATTGGTCTTTTGCCACCTGGTTTTTCTGAAGACAATGGTATGGACATTTTTCTTCATGGCTTGTTTTGGGGATTCTTTAGTTAGTTGTGGGCAAAGGCTAATATTATCACGTATGGGATATATTTAATTTTTGCCACATAAAGTATATGATATTTATGGGTAACTGGGAATTGCTACTGGTAAAAACATTTTTTAAGGAATATATCATAACAAGGGGCGCCTGGGTGGCTCAGTTGGTTAAGCGTCTGCCTTCGGCTCAGGTCATGATCCCAGGGTCCTGGGATCGAGCGCCATGTCGGACTCCCTCCTCAGCAGGGGGCCTGCTTCTCCCTCTCCCACTCCCCATGCTCGTTCTCTCTGTCAAATAAATAAATAAAAACCCAGAGCAGAGGGAGAGGGAGAAGCAGGATCTCCCGTCGAGCAGGGAGCCCGACGCGGGGCTCGATCCCAGGACACAGGACTCGATCCCAGGACACAGGGCTCGATCCCAGGAGTCTGGGATCATGACCTGAGCCAAAGGCAGTCGCTTGACCGACTGACCCACTCAGGCACCCCAATAAATAAAATCTTTAAAAAAAAAGAAAAAAGAAAAAGGCATAAGAGAGCTGACTGAATGAATGGTCTTGGAACTTTAAGAAACATCTAACAGGGAATAAAAGATGCTAAAACAGGCCCACAGAACTGAAATGGCTTATCCAAGGTCACCCAGCTAATTAATATTAGAGTTCTGACTAGATCCCCCTGGTTCTAGGTAAAAACTTCCCCAAATGTGAGAGCTGGAACATTCTAAAAACTATTTTACAGAGGCAGCAAACTGAAGACAAGAGAGGAAAAGTAACTAGCCCAAGGTCAAAAAGCAACATAGCAGAACCTGAACCAGAGCCGTAATCTAAAGCTTTTCCCATAATATTATACAAAGCAAAGTGCGACTTGAAATTTGAGAGTTCTTAAAGAAGGGGTGGTGGAATATCAAGATTGGATGGGACTGAAATGTTTTCTTCATCCAGCTGAAGCATGAATTTGCCCCTGTGACATCCCCTCAGATCCATGCTATCCTTCAACATCTTTGCCCAAGGCAGCCTGTTTCTCTTTGGATGGCTGGGACTTGATGGCACATGACGAATGTTCGTGAGATCCAGATTCTTCAGTGAAGATGCCATGACTTTTGATTCTTCCTTGTAAAAGGAGGATACTTAGAGCCAAATATGTTCTCTTCTGTATATTTCTCTCCCCTCGTTTTAGTTATGTGGTTCAAAACATCAGCTCCACTGGCTGGAACGTTTGGTCAGTGAGGTCAAGGTCATGAGCTCCATCCTTGTGGGGGCAATTCACTGTGCCTTGTTTCTGGCTCCAGACTTTGGTGATCTCATGAAGGCCTGGGAGTAGGTCAGTGTAGAGTCTTCATCATGTCTGAAAAAGTTACTGTAAGCATAGACCCAGTGGGTAATAGGTGAGTAATAGCACCCTCCCATGAAGGGAGCAACAAAGGAAAGGGAGTTCACGGCAACCACATCTGTTGCCTAATTTTAAAATATAATTCTTAAGGTCGATTAGCAGACAATTAGTTGTTTTTATCATTTTTTAAATATTCCTTGACAGCAGGCAAAGATGATTGAATCACTAGGATAGTACTAGACATGGTTAAACGACTGGTTTGAAAAATTCTTGTTTCCTTCCTTGGCTCTGCCCCTGATCTGTGAATGATGGTAAATGAATCCCTTCATTCCTTCTCTCTCTCCCTCCCTCCTTCTCTTTACCTTGCCTCCTTTCTTCTTCCAAAAATATTTACTGAGCCTATACTATGTACAAGGCATTTTTCTCGACACCAGAGGTACAATGCTGTGCCAAGTAGATAGTATCCCCCTGCTTACAGTTCATTGAGCTTCCCTAGTACACTAGGCATGAGCTCTACTGCTTTTTACATCACTAAATAAAGGATAGATGAGATCACATAATGTGTTAAAGCATTTTAAACTGAGGTGAAGAAGATGTCAGTACATTTAAAGTGTACTGTACTTCTGATTATCCAGTGGATAGTTTCTTCTGGGGAGGCTCTTTTTTGTTTGTGTTTCTCCTCCCTGGTTTACTGGCTTTTGGCCACATCTGTTTAAAATTTGTTTTTTAACAAAGACTCAGAGAGGATATCATGTAGGAGACACCAGGTTAGGTATACAGTCTTGAATGAGACATTTACAGTCACTGCCTTCATGGAGCTTACAAGAATAGTATGACAGTAGATGAAATAGCCCTAATTGGCTCTGGTAAGAGCTTTTAAGGAAGGCAATTGACCCTAATGAAAAAATGAGGATTAGCGGTTGCTTGCAGATTCATTTTACCTGTTCTTTCCAAGTCTTCACCCTCCTCCAAGTCCCTTAGCTGAGAAAATGAGTAGATACATATTATTATGTTCATTGTCAGTATTTCTCACGTAATCATCCTTAATGTAAGTATATCTTGAGGAATAATATCTTGAGATTGGGAAATTAATACAACACATCCACTGTCATCCTCATGTTAATATTTATCCTTTTCTATTTTACTTTCAGAAACAGACATAAACTTCCTATTCAAACAAGCACTTACAATTGTTGGAACTCTACCATTTACTTACATGTTAGAAAAGTGGAGATGGATGGTCTTTAAGGGTGAAATTCCCAAAGAGCAGTGGATAAAAAAATGGTGGGAGATGAAGTAAGTCAATGAATATGGAATCAGCAAAATGTTTTGTCTCATGAGTTTACCACTTACCTAAAGGCATTTTCCTGGCTTGTACACACACACACACACACACACACACACACACATGCAAGCATGCATGCATGCATGCATGCACACACTGCCTCCTTTTTATTTTTCAAGTCTTCATTTGGGTGCTTTCTCCTCAGATAATATGTCCTTGGTTCCGCCTTCCCCCAAGCAGGATCCGATGACACAACTTCTCATGGTCTATCTTCTTAAGTGCTGGGTCACCCATTAAACTGTGATATTTTAGGCACTGGGGATCCAATGCTGATCATTTCAGATGTTTTCCTTGACTTCAAAGAACTTTTAGTCTATGGAGGGATGTGGAAAATGAAACCATGGCAATGTGTTCTGTTATGGGAGTGTATGGGGATCCATGAGCATCCAAGGCAAGATCAAAAGCCCAATCTGATGGGTCAGATGAGGAAAGGCATCCAAATTAAGCTCTGAGAGAGAGGTGAGAGTTAACCAGGTGTATGTAGAGGGAAACAGAGAATTCCAGGCTAGTGAGAGGCTGGCACTTTTGGGCAACAGATAGTAACGCTTTCAATAGTTTCAGCACTACATTCTTCATGCCTGGGACACACAGGTATGAAATAAATGGGTTTGGGATGGAAGAATTACAAAAGAAGACAGGAAGGAAAGAAGAGACAGCCCCGCCCTCTAGGAGCTCCAATGTCCAGGGCCAAGAAGAAGATGTGTATGAATAATTGTAAAACAGAGAGAGAAATGCCAAAAGAGCACAACTAGGGAAGGCTAAGGGAGCTGGAGGGGTTCACTGTGCTGGCAGGTGGGTGGGCTCAGGGGCAGGCCCCACAGAGGAGGGGGCACTCCAGCTAGCTTTGAAGAATAAGATGTCAATGTTACAAAATTCTGTCTGCCAGGAACACATGGAATGTGGTACCAGAGAGGGATTATTAAGATTTTCACTGTACATTTTTGGCCATGGGATGCACTTTATTAAATTAGTGTTTTGAAGATGCAGCTGTTTTCCAGTGGTATATTCTGGATGAATTAAAAAAGGAAGAGATAACCACAGAAGGGCTCTATTCTGTAATTTTTTACACTGTTTCTATTTCACCTGACAACCAGTTCCAGTAAAATGCCATTGGCTGACAAAACCATGTTAACTGCCTCTAACCTATCTGCTTTTTTCCCCAAAGGCGAGACTTAGTCGGGGTGGTGGAACCCTTGCCCCATGATGAAACATACTGTGACCCTGCATCTCTGTTCCATGTTGCTAATGATTACTCATTCATCAGGTAAATGACAGTTGTCTTCTCACTGTTTAACCCCCAGGGTTTGTGGACAGCTGTGCTAATGGCAAAGAAATAGGGATCTATGAAGTAATGACTATAATTTCTCTTTCTCTTTCTACCCTCCTTCCCCCTACAACCTCAAAACAGATCATCAATTTTAATTCAATTTAACTCAACATGATTTATTGGGTCCAATAAAACTTATGTGAGATCTTTTCTCTACCATGAAGGAATTTATAGAATCCTTGGGGGAAATAAAATTATCTTTGTCTTCTTGTTACTGGCAGTGCTCAGAGTGATGGTAATAGAGTATTTTTAATCTGAAGTCCAAAAACCTATGTTCTTCACCTATTAGCCCCAGATCTTGAGTTTGCTGAACCTCAGTTTCTTTATTTGGAAGGTGGAAATAATATTGTTAGCCTGCCATAGGGATCAATTGGCATTATTTATATGAAAGGGCCATAAATATGGAAAGCACAATACAAATGTGAACTAACATTTAACAAAGTAATACTGCCTTTTTAATCAGCTGATACATAAATACAAGTAGGTTATGATGAGTCTGCAGGATTCATATTTGGGTCTTTCTGGAGAAAGAGGTTGGACTAGTATCTCTTTGGTTACTAGAGCCTCAGAATTTAAACATATGCCCCAATCTGTGAGTCTAGCACAGTAACTAAACACGGGACTGCTCTCTTGTTTGTCTATTTTACAGATACTATACAAGGACCATTTATCAATTCCAGTTTCAAGAAGCCCTTTGTCAAATAGCTAAACATAAAGGTCCCCTACACAAATGTGATATCTCCAATTCCAATGAAGCCGGGCAGAAGCTGCTGTAAGAAATACTTCAAGGGGCCCCTGGGTGGCTCAGTCGGTTGAGCGTCCCATTCTCGGTTTTGGCTCGGGTTGTGATCTCAGGGTAGTGGGGTTGAGCCCCGCTTCCGGCTCCAAGTTCAACAGGGAGTCTGCTTAAAGATTCTCTCCCTCTGCCCCTCCTCCCACCCTCTCTCTCTCTCTCAGATAAATAGGTGAAGCTCAAAAAAAAATTTTTTTTTTCAAAAAAGAAATATTTCAAAGATGTTGAATATTTCAAAATGTTGAACCTCTCCTGCTATCCAATATTACTCATTTCCATGCCTAGGTGTCCTTGTTCTAAAAAGAAATTTCTAGGGGCGCCTGGCTGGCTCAGTCATTAAGCGTCTGCCTTCGGCTCAGGTCATGATCCCAGGGTCCTGGGATCGAGCCCCGCATCGGGCTCCCTGCTCCGTGGGAAGCCTGCTTCTCCCTCTCCCACTCCCCCTGCTTGTGTTCCTTCTCTCGCTGTGTCTCTCTGTCAAATAAATAAATAAAATCTTTTTTTAAAAAAAGAAATTTCTATAAAATTTGATTTCCTTGTTCTAAAAAGAAAAATTTTGAACTCAAAATGTCCTCATCCACAAATTAATGGTTTATTTTATGGTCACACAGGAACCTAGACCATGTGATGGCTGGACAGTCTATCTCCTCTCCATGTCATAACTACAGAGCTCCCTTTATAGTCATTAGAAGGAAAGGGATTGAAGGATGAATACATCCATTAACCCACCTGATTTTCTTATCTGCCAGGAGCAAACTTAGCTAAGCCAAAGAGGAGAAACCATAGATCGTAGTGTAAATATGTGTACATCTGGAATTCCTCAAAAAGCCCTGAACCCACCCTCCCCTTTTTTCATGTAGCCAAATGCTGAAACTTGGAAGATCAAAACCCTGGACCTTAGCATTGTATAATGTTGTAGGAGCAAAGAATATGGATGTAAGACCACTGCTCAACTACTTTGATCCTTTGTTTACCTGGCTGAAAGAGCAGAACAGGAATTCTTTTGTGGGTTGGAACACTGACTGGAGTCCATGTGAGTACATTGAGTTGACACATTTCAAATGCCTCCCTTTCTGCTTCCCCTAGTCTCCTCTGGCCCATCTCATGGAGCTATGACACAGCTGTGTATATTGTCCCTCTGTGTAGACCCTGCTTCTGACTGGCTATGGTGACTGCTGCCATTTTATTGGGGAGGAAACAAATTTGTTAAGCACCTACTATGTATCAAGCATGATGAAAACTACACACACACACACACACACACACAGTTTTCTCTCTCAAGTCTGCTTTATTAGCCCCATATTTAAAAATAAAAGCGTATAACACTCCCCAACCCACTGCACTCAAATCCTGCTCTTCAAAGACAATTTTTTAAAAATCAATTTTAATGCTATTGCCTCTTCTTTCTGGCAGTCACATATTTCTGAACATTTTATTTATACAATTTCTTTATTGGTCAGTTTTAGGGATGCACTTCTGCCTACTCTCCCACCTCCCTTTCTCATCTCTCAATAAAGTTTTAACATTTTTTACAAGAAGTTAACAGTATTTATATCATAATGCCTGAAGAGCCAAGTAATATACTATTTTAAACACTTTCCTATGTGGCTCTTTGTTTGTCCTGGAGTTTCTACTGCCTTATTTCTTTTAATGTCTAATTTGCTATTATTGTTGCATTTATCTTTTCCAGGTATTCCAACATACCTATTCTTTTCAGCCTCATTTTTTCCTAAAGACTTCCTTCTTAGAGTCCTACATTCTTCTGTCTCAATCTGACCACAGTTTTCATCCTGAGTCATCCATCTTTTTGCTGCTTTCCTGGGTTGAATCCATTGCTGCCTGGATTCCATGCCTTCTTTCTTGGATCACCTCTTGTTTTGCTGCAGCAGAGACTCCAAGTGACTTTCTAAGCAAGAGCATGTGGGGTAGGAGGGTCAACTGTGTCCCACAGTGGCTTTAACCATACCTTAACTTTCATTCCCCTTGTTTTCAGTCTGATATCTTCTTCCCACCCCCAGCTGTACTCGAATCCCAAGCCTCTCTGGGACTCTGTGGGACTTTTGGGGTCTGTACTGCCTCTGCATACACATTAGGCCATGGCTTTCTGACCCCCCCCACCCCCCCGGCTCCATTACTTCTCATTTTCCAAAAGTGTATGTATTTATACCTGTTAAAAAATTCCTTTACTATCACTTTGGTGGGATCTTGGGAGGGGAAGGAAATAAATGCACATGGTCAATCTGTCATCTGTAACCAACAGTCTATGATTTCTCTTTAATCAGATGCTGACCAAAGCATTAAAGTGAGGATAAGCCTAAAATCAGCTCTTGGAGAAAAAGCAGTGAGTATTCTGGACAGTGTGTCCGTTACTTCTTTTTTTTTTTTTTTTAAGTTTTATTTATTTATTTGAGAGAGAGCACATGCAGAGGGACAGAGGGAGAGGGAGAAGAAGAGAAGCTGATTCCCTGCTGAGTGTGGAGTCTGCCACTGGGGCTCGATCTCATGACCCTGAGATAATGACCTGAGCCGGATGCTTAACCTACTGAGCCGCCCAGGCGCCCCCGTCCTTTACTTCTTAATGCACTCCCTTAAATGGGACAAATAAGCCCATTCCAGTGTGTTCTAAAAGAAGACAGGCCACATGTTTCTCTTAAAAACTACAAGCTCCAGATTCTGGCTCTTGGGCTTTTTTTTTTTTTTCAGTAACACGTTCTTTATTGGATTGGTGATGTCTACTTTTTCCTTGTTACTTTCAAGTGCTATGAAGATCAATGAGAAAACATCCGATCTTAAATATCAAGTGTCCACCCTTTTTTAAAAATAATTTTTAAAAAATTTTATTTATTTGAGAGAGAGCGAGAGAGCACAAGCAGGGGGAGTGGCAGACGGAGAGGGAGAAGCAGGCTCCCCACTGAGCAGGGATGCTGGCTCAATCCCAGGACCCTGGGATCATGACCCGAACGGAAGTCAGAAGCTTAATGGACTGAGCCACCCAGGCACCCCAAGTGTCCATCATCTTAATTCACTCTTATCACCATTACTTGTATTTGAGGAAGAGGACAAGGTTATGTTTTGAGAGATTGTTTTTAGAAGTACTGTAGATAGTTTTGCTTTGTTTTGTTTTAGTCAATCATCCATATCCTGGAAGCTTGTTGAAAATGCAGAATCTTAGGCCCCAGCCCTGGACCTGCTTAAGCCAAATCTGCATTTTCACAAGCCCCCAGCTGGTTTGTATACACTAGACTGGGAAGCTCTGATTTACAACAAGATTTCTCAAACCTGGCTGCACCCTGGAGTCTGGAGTCGTATGGGATGTTTAAAAAATATTAAAGCTCGAGTCCCACTTCCAGAGATTCTATTGCTCTACTAGACACCTGTCTCAGGCTAGCCAGGCTGAAGAAGCAGTGGCTTTGGGAAAGAGGAGAGGACTGGGCAGCCCCAGGCAGATGGGGAGCACAGGAGGCCGTGTAGGATGAGAGGACAGCCTGGGACGGTTGGATGGAGCGGCCCTGGGCGCAACAGAAAATTGTGATTTGCACTGGATAGAGCCGAAGATTACATTTCGACCCCCTTCTGTTTCCTGCCAAGTTAAATATTGCCTAAGGCTCCACGGTAGTTACAGCGTCATTTTCCTAGCTAAGTAAGACAGCTAAACATAGATAACACAGTAGGAGTGAAAAAGGAAGCTTTTTTTTTTTTTATTCTTATGTTAATCCCCATACATTACATCATTAGTTTTAGATGAAGTGTTCCATGAAAAAGGAAGCTTTAAGAAAGAAATAATAAAAATGAAGGCGCATCCCTTCCCAAATCTTAAGCGTTCAGATTTCCAGTTCTTCACCATCATTGAATGTCTGTGGGATTATTTCTCTTATCTTTATATTAGTGCTTCCTTGGCCCAATACATTTTAGTTCCTTTAAAGGATCCAGCAGATCAGGATCCTTTTCAGTTATCTGGTTTTCTTGACGTCTGTCCCCATGTTCTCTTTCCCTGCAGTGAGGGATTGGTAAATGGTCTTCAGAGGGGTTGGTCTTCAGAGGGTTGGTCTTCAGAGGGGTTGGCCGCTCTGAGGCCCCTTAGCAGAGTAGCAGACTGCTTTGCTGGGGCCGGCCTCCTGCTTTAGCACCCCCGGCGCATCCAGGCCAGAATCTCGGCCCAGGTCAACCTGTTGTATGGCAAAGTCCAGCTGGATCTTTGGCATGGTTTTGTGAACCCAACCTTTACTTTTTTTTAAAATTTTATTTTATGTTATGTTAATCACCATACATTACATCATTAGTTTTTTTTTTTTTTAAGATTTTTTATTTATTTATCTGAGAGAGAGAATGGGAGACAGAGAGCATGAGAGGGGGAGGATGAGAGGGAGAAGCAGACTCCCTGCCGAGCAGGGAGCCTGATGCGGGACTCGATCCAGGGACTCCAGGATCATGACCTGAGCTGAAGGCAGTCGCTTAACCAACTGAGCCACCCAGGCGCCCCCATCATTAGTTTTTGATGTAGTGTTCCATGATTCATTGTTTGCCTTGCTTTTTTTTTTTAATATGGAAATAGTAACCAGAATATTCACAGTAGCGATATTAATAACATTATTAGTACTCTTAAAGCAGCTTTTTTTTTGCCAAACCTGAGTGGTATCAAGCTGAGGTTAATGTAACAAATCTTCTGTGAAACCTTGTCATTGTTTTTTCTAAAAGGGAAAGGAGAGAGGCAAAATTTGTGCCATTCATTGATTTCTACTGCCAGCTACTGGAGGAAAGAGTGAATGCTTTTTTACTCTTTTAGCAAATGTTCAGACTATGCAAATACGCCAGCTGTTTGTTTAGCACCGCAAAACAAGAACAAATTACCTTGTCGACAAACAGTTATTTTTTCCTTCGAACCTCAAGTTTCTTTTTCTTGTACACTTGTACATATCTGAGAACTTACTATATACACAGTAAAAGCTCTGCATCTTTGCCTGCGATACCTGGATTTTTTTTTCTTTTTTAAACTTATTTTTTTCTTTCCACTATAATTAACATACAGTGTTATATTCGTCTCAGGTGTACAATACATGGACATTTTAACTAAAACCCACAACTCGCACGGCTCCCATCCATAAAGCTGCCCTCAGGATGTTTATTTTGGCTCCTCTCAAACCGAAAAGGATCCATGAACATGGTCCTTAAAGCACAGGTGCCACCTGGGAGCTTGTTACACATGCAAATCCTCCGGTCCCATGCCAGACCTTCTGAATTAAAAACTCAGGAGGGTAGGGCCCACTCTTCAGTGGTTTGACCAGCCCTCCGGGGGATGCTGGTGCCCACACAAGTTGGAGGTCACTGACCTAATGAATAGCAAGATTCTCCAGAGTATTAGAAAATGTAAAAATAATGCTTCTGGAGGGCGCCTGGGTGGCTCAGATGGTTGAGCGTCTGCCTTCGGTTCAGGTCATGATCCCAGCGTCCTGGGATCGAGTCCCGCATCGGGCTCCCTGCTCCTTGGGAGCCTGCTTCTCCCTCTGCCTCTCTCTCTCTCTGTCTCTCATGAATAAATAAATAAAATCTTTAAAAAAAAATAATGCTTCTGGAATATCAGGTTTTGAATGTATCCCATGATCCCTACTGAGCAGTGTTTTTCTTTTGAATTTGCAGTACAAATGGAATGACAATGAGATGTACTTGTTCCGGTCATCTATTGCATATGCCATGAGAGAGTATTTTTCAAAAGTCAAAAACCAGATGATCCCTTTTGTGTGAGTTACTCTAAACAGTATTTCTCTTTCTCTTGGGCCCGAAAAGATATTGTGCTTAAACTTTTATGCAAGTAAAATTAAGAAAAACCTCCTAATGACTCTGGAACTACTCTGATATCCTGAAATTTGGGCCATTCTCTTTAGGGAGGACTGTGACTTACTTGACTTATAGATTGCAAGAGCACTGTTCTCTTTCCCCGTCTCCTCCCTTCTCCTCTCCCTCCTCTTTTCCTCTCCCTTTCCCTCCACCAAATGTTTCCTCTACCCTCAGCACTGAAAGGAAAAGACAGACATCTCTGCCTTCACTGTACTTGCCTTTAATGTGTATTTCATGTGTGGATTACAATCAGCAAAATATGTTAAGTGAAATATACTAGAATGAGATGGTGACAAGTTCAAGGGAGAAAAATACCACAGATGGGGGGGCTAGGGAGTGCTGGTGTGTCTACAGTTCGGCTTTAACTGCAATAGTCAGAAAAGGCCTCATGAATCCTTGAGCAAACATCTGAAGCAAGGAGAGCACCAGCAAAGCAGACAAGGGGAAGGTAGGTAGCAGGTGGAAAGATTCTGAGGAACGAAGATCCTCCACCTGTTGAAGGAACAGCAAGGAGGCCAGTGGGGCTGGAGCAGTTAGCTCATAGAGGACAAGTAGGAGATGTGGTCAGGGCGGTAGTGGGGCGTGGGGGTAGGAGGGGGAGAAGAACGTTCTCCTGGGCCTCGCAAGCATTCCAAGGACGTTGGCTTTCTTCTGAGTGAGAAGGGCTGGGAGCCACAGGATCTGCCTTAGGTTTTGTCAGGATCCCTGTGGCAGCTGGGAGAGGCCAGTCTTGTCACCTTGTTGGTAAAGCCCACTCCTTACCCCCTCCCCCCGCTGTGGGTGTAACGCGATGGGTTTTGCCTTGTGGGACTGGGGTGGAGGAACGCACCACCTCTGTTCATGGTACTGAGCCGTCGCCGCCCGCCACGGTGTTTATCACAATCCTGGGGCACCCATGGTTCCTCGCTGGTTCTTCAGCTGCCTTCAGTTCGAAATTTTTCTATCATTGAAAGAAAATGGGGTTCATCTAGGGGGCAGAACGGATAGCACCAATAGTGTGTTATTCCAACTTGTGTCCTTGAGTTCATGTGCTTTGGGAAATGTCGAGGATGTGGGGACAATCACATTCCTTCCATTGTTCGCCCTATCCCATGTCTCTCGCCTTCACCCTGTGACTCCCCCCCCAGCTCCGCTCCCACCCCCTTTTCACTGGCAGGGGGAGCCCCCATTCTCTTTGCTGTGTCGTCCGTGCCACAAGGGAAGATGTTTCTTTTCTCTGCAGGGAGGATAACGTGTGGGTGAACGATTTGAAACCCAGAATCTCCTTTACCTTCTTTGTCACTTTACCTGGAAATGTGTCTGATATCATTCCTAGAGCTGACGTGGAAGAGGCCATCAGGTGATTTTACTTTCAAACAAGCTCTCTAAGGGGGAGGGAGGCTGATGAATGCACCCACGACAAGGGCTTGTGGTTTAGTGTGCTCTGTGTGCCGGGCACTGTTCTGAGTCCTTTTTCAGCTTAAAGACTGGGGTTTTAATTCCAGAAGGATCTCTCTTGATTTGGGCTCCTCTGTACGCAGGCTCTTAAACAGTTATTGGAGTATAAGTAGTTGATTTGGGAGGTGATCTCCAGAAGCTCTGAGAAAGAAAAGTGCACAGGGGCAGAGGATGGAAGGAAGATCATAAATGACATGTTATCGAGCAAGGGACCGCCGTGAGCAACTAGAGCTCCATGGTGCCAGGGAATTCTGGGACACTGAGCACATCATGCACCTGAACTGTCCATCCGCGCTGGGGTATTTACCCGCCGCCTCCCACCAGCCATTGGTTGCGAAGTGCTGGCTGGTGCCATGGCTTCCCCGGCAGTTCTGGTGTGCAGGCCGGGCAGCCCCTTGTGGCCTGAGAATGCTCTCGGGCAAAGGCAGCACGTACTGGCTGAAGAAGGTCTGGCCTGCACGCATACAGAATGGTAAATGCAGAAGGGACATGGACACGTATTGCCAGCATTTGTTGTAGGGACTCGGATGAAGGAATCGTTTCAGTAACCAGAGTCAGAAACGAGGTGGGCAAGAATAGGATTCCTTAGCTGTCGCTTGGCCTCGACACTAGGAGAGGGACTTACTGTGGGCAGTGAGCATCTAGAAGGAACGATTGGCCCAAGGTGCCTCGTCTGTTTCCCCAAACAGTGAGAAAGAACAGATCGAGGACACTAAAAAAAGGCTTAAGATACCTGCTGCTATGGGGGAGCCCGCTAGGTGGCCCTCTTGAGCTGCTGTTCATCTCTGGAAGCAAATCCAAGACCTGCCGGGCAGAGTGGGCCTGGAAAATCTGGCTTAGTTGGGGTGTACAACCCACCCACATCCAGAGACTTCACCGTCGGCCTCCAAATGACTTGTTTCTGTCCTGGGGAAAAGTGGCAGCTGAGATCAGCATTAAAGAGCCCAGCCCTCCTTGTGAGCTGCGGGGGGTCCCAAATCTCCCGTTTCCAGAATGACTTGAGACAAATTCAGGCTGAGGTTACATGGCTAATTCTGCTCTGACAGATCTCCCTCTCTCCTTTTGACCTCCTGACCTGTACTACACCCAAGGGTAGGAGGATGGGCTGCCAGACCCTTGGGCTTTCAATTCAGAATATTCTCAATTTCCCTAGTTTTGGTTTTTAAAATCCCCTCCATCCTTTTTTGCTCTCTAAAATTTAGCCATATCCCATCCCCAGTGCTGGAGAAATTGGCAAAGACCCCTCTCCTGCGTTCCTCCCCTGCCTCCAAAGGTCAATCACTTTTATTTGGAAACTACAACCGTCAAGACTTGGGTATAGGACCTGGGTTGATTTGTAGAAGAGATGGACCCAATTGTCCTTTTCTGTTATCTGATATAAAGTCATTGTACACCTACTCTGACAGAAGGGAAATTCTTGCCAAATACGCTGACTTTGCCTTTACAACACAGCAGTCATGGATGAACAAACACCAGCCAGTTGCATGTTTCCACACTTGCAAACCAATTTTCCAAGGAAGCCGTTGCCAGACCTAATCTAGGCTACAAGATATGAAAGGTGCCTAATTGTCAGATCTCGTACCTTTCATGGGACCTGTCTATCGCCTTTGATTTCATCGCTACTTGAGGTGTACAGTCTTAGGCTAAGGCTTATCAAATCCTTTCGGGAGCAAAGATGTAAGAAGTAAATAATTACACACAATTCTGTTTTGCCTAAGTGTTTTTGCTTTTGGGAATAGGATGTCCCGGGGCCGTATCAATGATGCTTTCCGCCTGGATGACAAGAGCCTGGAGTTTCTGGGGATTCAGCCAACACTGGGACCCCCTTACCAGCCACCTGTCACCATATGGCTGATTGTTTTTGGGGTCGTGATGGGAGTGGTGGTGGTTGGCATTGTCCTGCTCATCTTCTCCGGGATCAGAAATCGAAGGAAGTAAGTGACCCTTCCTAGACTTACCTTATCTTAAAACAGAAAGGTTTAGGGAAAACTAACTGGAAAATTTGCAGCAAGTGGTAGGTTGTATAAGCCAATTACTTTTTTGGACAATTTTGCACCTAAATATTCTGATGCATCCCCTAGAAATTTCCCAGATTTTGTCAGCACTTTGCCTTCCTAGCTGGCGTGCAATGTTCAGCCTAGGGCTTTCGAGTGAGCCCGGGGAAACTCCATCCTGGCTACAGTGTCCTTTCCCTACTGCCGGGAGGTCCTGCAAACTCGGGGAGGGGAGGCAGGCAGGCTCAGGGGATTATCCGCACTCCTAGTCTTCCTTGGTCTAGAAGTGACCCCGGAGACTGGCTCAGTGATGGTTGGCACTGTAAAACCATTCTAGAATGAGCTCTGCGATTCGCCTCAAACTGCCACCCTTCCATCATCTTCATTCCCCCTCAGGTGGCCCATGCTCCCTGTCATCTCCGTAGCTCAGGGGCCACAGTGCCCTCTCATGTGTTCTTGAATGGAAGATCCAAGTCCAGTGAGGATTTAAATCGCCAGAGACCTGATTTATAATCTTGCTCTGCCACTAGATGGTTTTTCTGACCTTGAGAAATCACTGGCTTTCATTAGGCTTATGTAATTAATGTTAATAATATTTTGTAGCACCTACCAAAACTGTGCACACTGCAGGTTGCCTAAACGTGTTCATGATGGAATTTTGACATGCCCTGGTCTATTTTGCTCAGTTCTTCACTGTGGAGATTTTTAGTTCCCTAAAATAGCTTCAGTTAAGAAAATTAGGCCTTGAATGGAATACATTCATATGGTTAGAATTATAAAAACTCCAAAGGATACCCAGAATCTTCTTGCCACCCTTTGCCTCCAAGTTCCCTTCCCAAAGCCAACAACAATTATCAGTTTCTCAGAGACCTGTCTGCGGTTGGAGGGTCTGCGTTTTTAGTAAGGCCACCCTCAGGTGATTTGTATGCACATGATGGTTTGAGAAGCATTCTTCCTTTGCACATGAGCTACTTGGGGAACCTCCTTCATGCCGCATGCTGGCTACCCTGCTCAGTACTTGGACGCATTAATAGTCTCAGCAAACATATGATGTCAATATGTAATTATCTAATTATCTTCATGTATGTACCAAACTGAGCTTCAGAGAGACCAAGTCACTCTCTCAAACTGACACGGCTTGTCAGTAACAGCTTGGGATCCACAGCCGGTCTGCAAACCTGGTGGTTGTGCGACAGAGCTGTCCTGCTCTGGTCTGGACACTTGGGAAGCTGATCATTTAGTAGGGAAGCTCTTTAAAAAGGAGGCACTTGGCTAAATGACCACTTCGTTTCTAAGTGACCACTTGGTTTCTATAAAGAATAATCCTGGCTACTATTTGTGGAGGCTTGCGTGCCAGGTACCGTGAGTGCTCTGCCAGCACCATCTCCTGGACTTGGCAGACCCGCCATCGTTTTCCAAATAGGCAAACTGAGGAACAGAAGTGCGCTCTCTCTGACCCTGGAGCAGATACCCTAAGCAGCCTCCCACGCTCTGCCAGCCTTCCCACCAACCAATCGTGGGGCAAAAGGAGGGAATCTCATGCTCTCTAGGGGTTCCCAGTCCATCGGGAGGGGATAGATTCACCAACGAGCGATTTGATGCTGAGGTGTCAGAAGCCTGGGCCAGTGGGGTCCAAGGGAGGCCAGGTCCTTCAGCAACGCTATACCAAGGTGACTTCGCTTTATTTAACAGGAACGATCCAGCCAGAAGTGAAGAAAATCCTTATGCCTCCGTGAATTTGAGTAAAGGAGAAAATAATCCAGGATTCCAAAATGTTGGTGCTGTTCAGACTTCATTTTAGGAAAACCTGTTTGATTTCCTCTTGAGGTGATTTTATTGCATGCAAATGTTAATTTTATGGTACAGATAATAGGAGATTATAAAGCTGTCATTAGATATCAAAACTATGGCTCTGGTCAGGAAAATTTACCCCAAGAAGACATGCCTGAGGAGAGGGCATCTTCACTGGCTTTCAGTATTTATTTCTGCCTCGAGATTTCACTTCTGTTCATGTTTGAGAGTAATAGAGAAAAATGTGTCTTTGGCCTCACCGGCTGTTCGGGGTAATGGAAGTGGAAATGTCTGTTGCCTGGCTGGAGTGGAAAGAGAAAAGAGGGATATATGGTGGGAGCAAGTGGGGCCTTCTATGGAGCCCAGATGGATCGCTTTTAAGGACCGTCTCTGTGAAATGGCGGAACTGCAGGGAGCGAGAATGGCACACGCTGTTCACTTAAAGTCAAGTGTAAAAGATGGCACGCTCTTTCACATTAAGTTAATCTAAGTACTATAGTGATTTGCCCACAGCGGTGAGTGGACTGGATCATGCCTTCTTCGGGATGACAGGTCTAAAGAAGAGAGGAGAATCCAGAGAGCTGTTCACAGATGTTGCCTTTTCACTTCCATCCATGCTTGATCATCATCTCCCTGACAACGTAAGACTAGCCCCAGGGGCCTCCTGGGACCTGCCCCCCCAGAGCACACCTGATAGAAACTCACTTCTGTTGTTCTCCATGGAGTGACTAGAAACCTCAACTGAATGTCCTCCCTGGAAGTGGGTACCCAATCTCTTAAATCTTGTATTCACCCACAATGCCTGAGTAGTGCTGAGCACAAAGCAGACAGTCAATAAATACTGACTAGATTCACACTCCTAAGGTCTCACGTGTACTTACGTGCTGGGGCTTCGGGGATTCTGTCTGCTTGTCACTTCCACGGACAAAGTTGCTGTCTGACTGCCTGGGACACTTGACCTCTCAAATGTCTTGGAATGTGTCCCAATTTCTTAAATTGCTTTAGTGTACAAAGTGGCTCTAAGATCAGTCTAAAGAGGGGTGTGTAAGATTGTTGACACTGTCCAGTTAGGAACCAAGCCTAACACTCCTTTTGTAGACCTCAGAATCCAGCCCGGTTCTGAGCACAGCATCCACTACATGCCTGAAGACGGATTCAAAATTGATGAAAATATCCCAACTTTACCCTGCAACTCACTCTCTGTGGTGACCAGCATAATGTTAGAGTAACTCTGTACTTAATACAGTCTATGGAGAGGGGCGCCTGGGTGGCTCAGTCGGTTAAACATCCGACTCTTGATTTCGGCTCAGGTCATGATCTCAGGGTTGTGGGATCGAGCCCCACATCTCCATGCTCAGTGGGAAGTCTGCTTGAGATTCTCTCTCCCTCTCCCTTTGCTCCCTCCCTCTCACTCTCTCACATGTGCTCTCTAAAATAAATAAATCTTTTTAAAAAATAAAATAAATTCTATGGAGATAATGGTCATGGTGAATCGGTTAGCCAAGTCAGGAGAGGATGACCTTTTCTTCACTTCCAAGAGCATGTAGGCAGTCCCCTGGCTTAAAACAATAGCTGTAAATGCTAGATATCACCACTAAACATGGTTAAATAGCATTTTCAAAATTATGCATGTTTTACGTGGTATGAGTATTGTTCCTTTCCTTGGCTCCTCCTAGCATCACTGGGCTGCTTTTCTTATAAACCTCTACTGGTATCTTAAAACCTTCCTTGACTTGATGTCGGGAGCCAGGCTTCTAAGCACTGCTTCGGTTCTTTTCATAGTAGACGATTCTGTACTGTTTGAAATTTAGCAATAAGTGTATATTACTTTTGTTACAAAGAAGATTGTTTTTAAAAAACCAAATACAAAGAAATAAGGAGAAGAAAGGAAAGCAAACTTCACGAGGGCCTGTTGAGGAGAAGAGGAGTTGAGTTACTGGTTCCTTCTTTTCCCTTGGGTAGGAAAGAGCCCTGTCAGACAGTACTTGCTCAAGAAATGTTCGCTGAATGTTATTCATGCCCTAGTGGTTATTTTAAAGTTCCATTTCAGGTGAGATTTGTGCACCTCTGTAAAAAAAATAGAAAACTATCAAAAGTCCATTCTTCTGAAAATACAGGAATCTGCATGTATGTGTTAAGAAACAACCAAGAGAGATCACTGGAAATAGGTGGGAGGTGATGGAGTCAGTGGGATGAGACAGAATATGAGGATCTCTTAAGGGAGATGGTTAACTTCCATCCAGAGATGAGGAGCAGCACTTAGTGTCTTTTCAGTATAATTGTGCCTCCAGTGGCCTTTCTCTCTCCCTCCTTGATGTTACAGAAAAGACTGTGAAGTGCTTCAGAAGAGATGAAAACCTGTGGGCTCAGCAGTGGGCCGTGAAGGAGAGGAGTCCCAGGAATAGTGTAAAAGCAGAAGTACCTTTTAGTAATCACCAGGAGAAACTGAAATAATACTTCCGTACCTTTGTGTCAAGATAGAAGACTGAAATAGAAATGTCAGTCACCAAACTAGCCAGGCACCCCAGAGCCCCAAACTCAAGGATTGAATATGATTAGAAGGCAGCAATCAATTCTAGAAATAAGACTGTGGTTACACCGTATCCAAATTGATAAGGATTAAAGTTAAAAAAAGGCATCAAGTTTACCTTGGCATCTTTAAGAATTTGCTCTATGTGGAAATATATTTAATATCTTCTTGAATGATACTATTTAATTTTAGTTTTATATTTGCATGGCATACATATATGACCCAAAGAGTCTTTGTTCTAACCTAGAAGTCAAATGAGAGTTGAGTCATTTAGATTGAATTACGGACCACCTAATGCTGCCCCACTGTATAAGCAGGTCCTCTAGGGCAGGGGTGACTGCGAGGAACATCTGGAAGCTTAGTTCCTTAGGAATCTCTGTGTGTGTTTAAGGATTTTGTTTATTTGAGAGGGAGAGGGAAAAAAATGAGCAGAGTGGTGGAGTCAAGGGAGCGGGAGAAGCAGGGAGCCCAACACGGGACTCGATCCCAGGACCCCGAGATCATGACCTGAGTCGAAGGCAGATGCTTAACCTACTGAGCCACCCAGGCGCCCCAGGAGTATATTTTAATGAACTCTCCTTTTGATTTGCATACATGGTAAAGTTTGACAGCATTGAAACATGAAGGCAAATGTCCACATTTTGGTACTTGTTAATAGCATATTTAATTATCAGGATAGTGACAATATAAGGAAAAGAACAAATATCCAACAAAGAATTTTTTAATTCGATGCAATCTTTACAAATGGTACACCCTCTGTCTACCACAATCAGAAAATGTGCTTCTGCTATAGGCTGGGAAGTGTAATACACAGAATTACTAATTTGACCTAAATTTCAAGGAACTCTTTTGTTTCTTGTTCAATTTCGAGATAATACAACAGGCAAACAGCACACAGAACGCTATTAAGAAGAACTAGCTAAATTACATTGTCTGTGTCTTGCTACTTTCCTTAAAAGGAATGAAAATGTTGGCCAGCATTTACATTCGTTCTCATCAGATCTCCTGATTTCTTCGTCAAGGTTTGTCTTTTTCCCGAAGTGGTTCAATGGAAGCTAGGAGTTGCTGAAATGTGGGACGCTTTTCTGGAAGCTAAATAAAAGAAAAACCCAATGGCTTAGTTTATGAAAGTTAGGATTAAAAATAAAATATAGAAGATATGTATACCTCAAAACTAAAGCTAGTGACTGTTTAAGTGTAGAAACACTATGGACATTTCCACTAAAGACAAAACAACTAGAACCCTAAGAATTGGAAAAGAAACAGTAAAAATATCTTTATTTGTGTAAGATATGGTTGTATGCCTGGAAAAACCAGGAGAATGAATGATAGAACCAACCCAAATGATAAGGAATTCAGCAGGAGAGCAGTATGCAAAATTAACATATAAAATCAATAGCCTTCAGGTACATGTACAAGAACCAGCCAGAAGACACAATGGAAGAGAAAACTCCATTTAGAAGAGCAATGACACCAAAATAAAATACAAACAAAAACGTACCTCCCACCCCAAAATGAGGACAGCTTTAAACACTGCTGAAAAATACAAATGTAGACTTATGCACATAGAAAATCATTGCTTGTTCTTGAAGAGGACAAATCAATATCACAAGGATGTCAAATTTCCCTAGTTAAAATATAAACTACAGTCTCCTCCAAAACATGAACAAGTTTGTTTCAAGCTGAACAAATTGATTCTCTAGTTCATGGATTTTTAAAATATGCAGAAATAATACCTGAAATGAATATAACACTGTAGGTTAAGTACACTGGAGCTAAAATTTAAAAAATTTAAAAATTAAACTCAGTTTTAAAAAATGTATGTAAAAATAGCTAGGAAAGGTATAAAAAAAGGTGAACAATGAGGGAGTGCTAGCCTACCTAGGATTAACACATATTATAAAATCTCTATAATTAGAACAATGCAGTGCTAGCACATGAATAGAGACCGGAGAACAGAAGAGGGAGTCCCCCAATAATCCCAAATACATATGGAAATTTCCTATGTTAGATATTTCGGCACCATTAGATGGTATCTTGCCCCTGGGAATGACATGGTCTTTAAATGATGCTGCAGCAAGCAGGTAGTCAATTAGAAAACGAGATCTTTGGATCCATACTTCATACCGTATACGATAACAAACACAAACTAGATCAGAGATCTAAATGTAAAAGAATGAAACCATAAAAGTACTAGAGGAGAATCTGAGTGAATGCTATCATAATCAGGGTCTGGGGAAACCTATCTAACTTTAACTCAGTTTCCAGAAGTAATAAAAGCAAATATTAATAGAGTCAATCATATTTTTAAAAAAATCTTTTGCATGGCAAAAACTACCATAAATTAAGAGATAAGCGACAAACTGGGAGAAAATATTTACAACTATCACAGATAACATACTAATCTCTTTCATTTATAAAGGGAACTTTAAAATCAAGGTGAGGGAAACAAAAAACTTGATAGAACAAAAGGAAAAGATATGCCATTTAATTCTCAGAAAGAGATACCTGTGCCCTTGAAAGTAAACCTGAATTGTAATGAAAGATGTACATATAAAAGCTGCAGTAAAATGCCATTTCTCATCTATCAGATTGGCAGAAATCCAGGAGCTTGACAATGGTCTGTGTTGGTAAGATGGTTGGAAAATAGGCACATTGATGGAGGGGCAACTCCTGCGGAGGGGATTTGTATGCTCCTTTTTTCATAAGAAAGAAATGGAAACACACACACACACATATGCATTCTCACTTTTGTGCAAAGAAGTATGGGAAAGATAAATTGGAATCTAATGAAAATCGTGAATGTTCTAAAAGTTGTGAAATAGAATATTTTAAAAGTGGGGGACCAAAATGTGCAAAACACTCACTATATGCAGAACCTTCAACTGGGGATTGTCTCTGTGCAGACCCATAGTGTCGTGGTTAAGAGCAGGGACTCGGAGACTAGCCAGCCTACCTCTTACTAGCTGTGTGACCTTGGGCAAGTCACTTAACCTCTCTGGGTCTGTTTCCTCTTAGTTTTGGTCATGCTGGTACCTACTTCATAGTGTGTTGCCTGATGAATAAATGGGTTAATATTTATGAAGTTCTTAGAACAGTGCTGGATGTAAGTTGTTTGTTAAACCGTTAGCACCTACATTGCTCCGTTGCTGGTTTTAAATTACAGACACTTGAGGGAAGGGGCTCGGGGCCGTTGCACCCGCTGTGTAGCAGGTGTTTTCCCTCATAAATGACTCGCCCAGTGGTGTCCTAGGCAACCGCCGTGGATGCACCTGATGCCCCTTCCAGCCCCGCCCCCGCGGGGCACTTGCCTCGTGCCAGCAGCTGTACATGATCTGGTAGATGGTGTCCGATGCCAGTTGGGGCCGGTAGAGTCTGTGGCCCTG